AATGATAGTTTATGAAAATCTAAGATAAAAATGTAAAATCGGTTTTCCTCTGAAATTGACCGTTTAGGTTTTACAGCCTGTCAAAGTTGCAAAAAGTCCATTTTCAACTGTCAATATTTCCAAAACAGTCGAACTTAGGTATAGGGTATGTTACATGAAATCTGCTCAGAATTTTACGTAGAATCCAAATAGGCAATCACATAGAGGATGTTCCATTTAAAATAACAAAGTTCTGTCGCATACCCCATAAACGGAGGACCCTGTATATTCCAAAATATTTGTATGTGTATGTGTGTATAACATATCTGCTACTACATTTGACCTTGTAAAGCCCATCTGGTTAATCTACCAGTTGGCGATTTATGGTTGAGCAACCATCTCAAAGGTTGATGGTCGGTTTGCAAAGTAATGGCCATTCCTTTGATGTATCCTCTGAACTTGTCAAGCGCCCACACAACAGCAAGTGCTTCGCGCTCGGACGTCGAGTAGTTCTTCTCGCATGCAATGAGTATTCTACTCGCATAGTCAATGGGATGTTCATCCATACCCTCGCCTTGTAAAAGTACGGCTCCTAATGCATATCCACTGACATCTGTCCTCAATAAGTATGGTTTTGTTTCATCATTTTGTTGCAGAATTGGGACTGTGATAAGTGCATTTTTCAAAGTATCAAACGAGTTCTGATGCTGTTCAGTCCATTGCCATGGTGTGTTTTTTTTTAGTTAGGTTACTCAATGGTCGTGAAATGGCGGCAAAGTGACGATACCAGCTACACGACTGCAAGAACGAAAGCACTTGCTTAACGTCATGGGGCGTAAGTCTATTAGATTATCCAAGTTGCTGTCAAACTTGAATTAAAATGTCCGCCAAGAGGCACACAAACCATTTGTTTGCTTCTCGAAATCATGTGTTTTCGATAGGCTGACTATTCAAGGTGCTGTCAAACAAATTAAAATGTCCGAAAGGAGTAGTAAAGGCTGTTTTATCACGATCAGGTTTATGAACATTTATCCGGTGATATTCGGAACGCAAATCCAAACACGTCATGCGAAAAGTAAAAGAACTTTTCACATCGAATGAAGAAGATCATCCATGCGCGGTAGCGGGTAATTGTCACTAACTATAATGCGTTTAGTCGTTGATAGTTCACACAAACACGCATGTTTTTACCATCTGGACCTTTGGGTACCATAACCACCGGAGCTGCCCATGGGCTCTCACATTCTTCAATTATATGATCCTCCAAGAGTTTGTCAATATCAGTTTCCAGTAATTGCTTTACTAGGCTACCGTTTCGGTACAATTGTACTAAATTCAGTAAAAAATTAGCATATTCAGTCAGTACAACCTTCTGAAAAAACACCCAATTTCAGTACGAAAGTTCAACTTCAAATTGTATTTATTTACTCGGAGCAAGCAGAGTAACGTGACGTCACAGAGATGTCGAGTCAAATGAACTCGTGCACTGCAAAAGTGCTCTGGGTTGAGCTGATCAGCTTTAGTTCATTTATTTAGGTTATGTGTTTGGGAATCCCGAGTTGACCCAATAAACAAAACAAATAATTTTGTTATTTTTTTTCATGTTCACTTAGGGTTGCCAAGTTTTTGAAATGGAAAAGCGGGAGGTTTAAATTTTTGAATGCCATATCCAAATTTTTACGAAACAGTCGTTAAAACACCCTGTCAGTCAAATGTACTTTTTGTTATGTACTTTTTGTTAAACAAATTAGGTAGATACTTGTCAACTTGTTTTTTTCCAATTTTTCTGGAAAAATTACAAGAAGAGTAGGTTTAAATAAAATGGCTTTGAAGTGCATGCGTAAACGATGAACGATGGTAGATGGCAAGGTTAGGTTGCCTGTTAACTTTTATGACGTCATCTGGGGTGCGTCTTCCAATGGCCTATTCCTCTTCAACATAATGTAAATCCCCATAAGGTACCTACCCTAGATGACATCATCAAATTACCTAACTTACCCCAGACAACCTATTTAACTCTGGTACGCAGTGGTACGTGCTTCCAAAAATACTTATTGTCAATTTTGTCAGTGTAAGATGTCCAATTAAATAGGGAGCTTTTAAATATCCAAACCCAAGAACATCCAAAAACCCTAAGGGCCGGTTTCTCAATAGCGAGTCACCCCGGCGTTGGTTTTAACCAGAGATGGGCATCTACGCGTAAACAAAGATTGTCAACGTCTGGTGTAAACAACGCGTAGACAATGTAAAGTATGTAATCTATGTAGACAACGTGTAAAATATGTAGACAACGCGTAAAGTATACAATTTTTGACAGTTGGTAGGCCTTTAAGGTTATGTTTCTGTTTTTGCTTTGTTTTGTTTTTTGCTTTGTAATGTTAATTGAACTGCAGATCCTTTTTTAAGAATGAAAACTCCACTGATTTAAGATTGCGAAGACGCCAAAAAATTCCAAGATCAAGTAGACATTCAAAAATCTAAAAACTGCAAAGATATTAGGTCTGTTCGTAGAGGAATCACAAACCAGTCAGAGTGAATTTCATTGGTTGAAACCAGTTTTCTGACTGTTTCTGACTGTTTTCAACCAATGAAATTCGCTCTGACTGGTTTGTGATTTCTCTACGAACAGACCTATTATAGACTTTGAGTCTGTCTCATGCCAACTCCATCTGAGAAATAAATGATGGACAATTTTAGTAATTGTCAATCTCTTAATTTGATACCTTCGATGGCTCCAATGATCTTGAATAGCTCCTAAGATTTTTAAGTATTCAAAGAGGCTCAGGGCTCATGACCTATTAATAGTGAGAAGTGGAAAAACTGCCGATTCAGGTCACAATTCCAAAGAATCTTGGCTCTTGATTCAGAGCTTATTGAATTCTAAAAAGACTAAAAACTGTCTTGAGGTTCACTTCTGCGAACACGCCAAAGATTCTAAAGGATTCAACTTAAACACTTATTAATCGCAGGAAACTTTAGTGTGCCCAAAAATCTCAAAATACCTAAAATGCAAATGAGAAATAATTGTGAACGACTTTGAAAAGTCAGTTTTAATAATTTGGATCAAAATGGGCTGAGCCACAGCTCTTAGAACAGCCAATTCGTACATTAATTAATAAACTTTTAGAGAAGTTGTATAGTGTGCCCAATGGGCGCAAAAGCCACAAAACTAAAGAGTTTTTGAGGGCTTTGGAAAATCATTTTTTCTAAATTTCAGAATGAAAACTGAGGTCACTCAAGATTTGAAAGTTAAAAAAGATGCCGCAAAGTTCAAAAAATACAAAGGATCTTGAAGAGAATGAAGAGATAATCCAAATATATTTCAAAATCTGTTGAGATTAATGTATTTGGAGATTTTTGTAAGATTTTAGAATGAAGATTCTATAAATACCCTGCCTTCGAAGACTATAAAACTCTTGAGTTAGTCTTTGAATAGATACTCGAAAGTGAGAATATTTTGACCAGGTATTGGAATTGTTCAAATTTCCAAACCATGTCCATAACCATCGAAATTGTTTTCCACGCACTTTAAATTGATAAAAGTCAATGACACCGAAACTTGTATCCAAGACTTAAGGATCTCGACAAAGAATATTTGGATGTTACTTTGCTGGCCTGCCAACTATTGACAAAGAATTTTTGGCTCATTGAAACTTTAGCCAATAACCCAGAGAAGAAAGGAAAGAACTTTTTTTCTTACTTTGAAGAATTTCAGCATCTGGGGGGAAGTCGTGGAGTATTGTTTCTGGCAATCTCCAGTAGATACAATTTTTTTGCTATAGGAGCTAATCAAAGTTGAGTTGGATTTAAAGTTTCAATTTAAAATCTTCGAAATCAGAGAAATTGAATAGTCCAACGCGCATCTGGGTATTATCATATTATAATTCCGAAAATGAAATTCCGTTCCTGGATGCATACCGGAAAACTTTTAAAACACATTTTCGGGAATCGTGTAAATATAGGCTTGCTAAGTGTAAACCTCTTAATTTTAAATTAGGTAAACAGTAGGCGCGCGATCAAAGAGGCGAAAATTGGAAAATAAAGTCGGCGATAATGATCTAGATACTTGTAGAGAACCAGATGCGGAAAAAAAATTACACCACAAATGTGGAAATTACAACTTTTGAGACTGCAAATAATCAAATATAATGCTACAACAAATACTTCACTGGAAATTCTGTTGAAAACTATAGTCAATCGAAGAAACGTTTTTGATCATGAATGTGTTGTCCAAAACCTCTATGAAGTTGAAATATTGATTCTGTAGGCTTATTTGTCTAATTTCGGATGATTTTCTCTACGTCATTGAAAAGTAAAGATGTATCAAGCAATCTCATCACAAATAGCTTCAAAGAAATTAGGAAATCCAATGGCACTGCATTTCTTGGACTTTGGAATATCAAATCCTGTATTTTTCTTCTAATCCTTATAATAACCATCAATATTGCTTGTATTGAGTATAGGTACCTATACCATTAAGCTTTGTATTTTCCTCCTCAAAAAATCCAATTTAATTGAAAACTCAGCTAACTTACCTAATGCAAATAACATTCATCAAAATTGACCATGTTCCTTTCAACATCAATCTAAATATAAACAAAGTGCTCCAGAGAAATTAATAAAATACCTTTTAAATACCAAAACAAAAAATGGCCAGCGCTTGGACCTATCATCGGTTGGTTTAAGTGCTCGCGTTAACAGTCCATATAACTTGTTCAATGAAAAGCTTTTTTGTGTGGCGCGCCCTCTCGAAAATACCGAATAGTCTTTATTTATAGGTACCCATTACGGAATCCTATAAATCTATATAGTCGAGCTTTTCGGATCGTAGAATTTTGTGAAGAAGTATTATTGCCATACGATGCAGAATCGAGCGAGCCTTTTATTTAAGTGGGTACCCCACACTTGACTTTACGACCTACCGAAATAAATATAGCGCCACCTATAAATTTATCTGACGAGACAAATTAGGCAGTACCATAAGTACTTTATAAGTGGCTAAAAAATACAAAACAAATAAAAAATAAATTTTTATTTTGTACTTAGAGTAGGTATAAAAAATATCAGTCAAGTCAGTCGAAAGTTTTTTTAACCAAATTAAACTCATTATCAAGTTTAACAAAATAAGTGGGCACTTCACCAACTCCTTTCACTTGCTTAAAGCCTCTTGGCACACACTCGTAGCCCAATTTTTCAATTTCCTGAGCAGTTCCCTCCATAACGTGAATTTGAGCTGAAATATTTAAATTAATTGAAGATGTTTATGTCACTGAATTTGGCTTTTTACATGGACATCCAGTACTATCCATTCTAGAAGCCATGTTAACAGGATCTCCCCAAATATCGTAAAGAGGCTTTTTGGAACCGACCACACCCGCTAATATTTTACCATGACAAATTCCTATTCTCAATTTGATGTCATACGTGCAACCATTGGCTTCTTTGAATGCCTTAAACATATTGGAGGCAAAATTCAAAAGCACTTCCAACGTGCTGCTCGTGTGATGGGTTTCCATGCAATGAGCAGTATTTTCGTTATCTCCTGGCAACGTTAGACCGCAAGCTGCCATGTAAGTCCATTTAGCTATTTTGATTTTTTCTACTTTTGAGTTTTTGTTTACCAACTGAAATTATAAGAGTTATTAGATTTTAATATTATTTATTTTTCACTAGCCATATACCGTATCTATAGCAGTAATATATTCATTCATAAGCCTCAAAAAAGGCATTTCCTCTTCCGTATAAGCTTCATCGAAAATAATCGAAGCAAACATCACAGCGGCATGATTGTGGGTTTCAAAGTAAAGATCGTTCATGCCTTTGTTGACATCCAAATAGACTTTTGCTAAAACCAACAATATCAACCTCAACTTCATCGATAACCTTTAAGATCCTCACCAACATGTTTAGGCAAAATATTAATCAACATATTTGTATTGACTGCCTGTTGCTCGTCAGCTTTTTGTTTCTCGTCCAATAGCTTTGACGTCCACAAAAAATCCAGTCTATTCATGTAATCAGTTTGTCTGTCAATTAAATGCAATGTGAAAGTCATAAAAGCTATGCTCAAAATGTGAGCTATTTGAGGCCTTAGAAATGGATTAAATGTTTCACTAGCCTAAAATTGAAAAATAATACAAATATTTTATAAAAAGTTGAACTCACTTGATAAGTAGGTGTAACATAATACAGTACACAACATCCATAAGCTATTGTAGTGAAAACAGCATATAATAATTTAATCCAGATGAATATTTTGAGAAATAGGAAAGTCATCATGAGTGCCAACGCACATGATTCGGTCATATGCTAAAAAACCATGAGTTAATTTAAATTGTTCGGATACAATCATAACTCTCACCCAAGGTATCATGCAATGACCATCAGTTGGAGTGGTAGGATCTTCAACATTTTCCATATGACACATCCACTAAAATCAAATCATAATTATTTATTCAATACAATGAATACAAAATTGTAACTGACCACATCCAAAAATACACAAGACAATAACATCATCCATACAATGGTGTAGATGGCAAGTCTGGCCCAAAAATTGTTTGTAATAAATTTAGACGTGTTGTAGAAGAATTTGACAATTAAACTTTTTGGAACGGTGTCTCTGTAGTTGGTGAAATATTTGAGGTAGATATGGTAGGTCCAAGTGCATGGTAGTAAGATTAGTAGCAGGATTATTTGGGATGCTATAAATTCGTAACGAAGCCAGCTAGAAAAGTGAAATTAGAGTTGTTCAAAGGCAAATAATATCTCTTACCTATCCAAACTTAGATTCTGAATTAAGTACATGCATATTATTAGAACCACTTGGCTCAGGACGTAATATTTAAACATTGGATCTCGCATGTTAACATATTGCCACTCACTCTTTTTATCTTTGAAGAAAAGAAAACTGCTAATCTCTTTTCCTTTGATGTACTGACTAAAATTTTTATTAAAGATAATAATTGAAAAATCCTAGTAAAAAATTCTCACTCTTTTTTCGAAAACGACAAATCATTTATAGTTTGTTCCATTTCCTTATCAACATTAGCAGAACGTTCTATGTATCTTTTAAAATTAGTACTCATAAAGGCAGTTCTTCTTTTCACATCTGCTGTCAATCTTCTATCTTCGTTTACCCTATACCGTTGACTGGCTCTTCTTTGGTAAACAGTATTTCTTCTGACATCGCCATTTGGTATAGTACGCCTTTGATTGTCCTGCTCTATAGTGTTACTTTCGATAATGGTTAGAGTGGATCGTTGTGAAGCATCCGAACCGTTTTCCTCAAGTATTTGAGGCAAATTTACTGATTGCATTTGATTTAAAACAGGCGCAGCCCCATTTTTTCTGAAAATTGATGGTCGCGGCATGGGTGGTTGATTTGAATTATCTGGATCTAAATCCGAGAGGGTTGGTCGTGGCTTATCTGGCATCTAAAATTATTAGTTTGTGTTTTTTTTTCATGTATTGATCTATATCGAAACTCACTGGAGACACTAAAAACGTTTGTAAATTGTTTTGCTTGAATTGGGGAACAGTTTCGCCTTTATTATTTGGAACAATGTCATAAGGTTTTTCCAGTAGATTTCTTGTTTTATTGGTAATATGGACTTTCCTGAAGTAAAAAATATTTGTATGGAACTTTATTTGATCATAATAGTTGAAGAATTTTACCCTGGTTCACCCTCACTTTCCATTTTATTAGCAATGTCCACATCTTTACTCCAAACATCAAACTGATATTTCACTTTACCTATAATACCACTAATTATTTTGCCTGTATGGATACCAATTCTCATATCTATGTTGAGATTATTTTTTTCTCTAAAAATAAATAGCAAAAATAAAAAGAATTTTAAATTTCAAACATTCACATTACCTTACGTCAGCAATAATTTTAATCATTTTTAATCCCAAATCAACACAAGCCTCGGCTGGATTTTGCGGAGGTTCCGGAGGTAATCCGGACACGCAATAGTAGCAATCGCCCAAAAATTTAATCCGAATCACATTGAGTCTCTAATAAAATTAATTAAACAATTAAGATATTTCACAAAAAAAAATGGCTTACTTCTGAGGCGTCATCAAATCTACCGAAAAGTTCGTTTAGGGTTTCCAGAAGGGCATTGATATCCAACTGTCTGGTCATTACTGTGTAATTTACTATGTCGGCGAAAAGGATTGTTACTCCTTCGTGGACTTCTAGAAGTTCTTGACTGAAAAATAAATAGAGTGTCAATTTGAAAACTTTCAATGCGAATATCTCTGAAAGTAAAAAGTTTAGAAAAACGTAGAATTTGGTAAAAATGTTATACAGGTAGGGGGAACTAGTTCAGGGAAAAGTTCAAGAAAGAGCTGAGGGGTTCTCAGAGGGGGTTTTGGAGGAAGTACTGTGAGGATATAGAAAGTACTCACACAAAGACGGGGGTAGAGACGCCTAGGGAACTCCTAAGATAACCCACTTTCCTGGCTCAAAGATAGTTGATCAGACTAAGGAGACATGTGAAGAGCATCCAGAAGCGACTGACTGACCTCGAAAAAAGTAGACAACTATGAAAAAGTCAGATGGGCTATAAACACCTTTGACCCATATAAGTCAACAGGGACAGATCGGATCTATCCCATAATGTTACAGAACGGAACTGAACTTGCAAACAAGATACTTTTTAACATTCTAAGAAGCGGTGGCGTAGCGAGGGAGGGGGCGGACCGCCCCGGGCGCCACTTTTAAGAGGGGGCCGCAAAATTGCCGCTTCTTGTACCCTTCAGGATTTGCCTGTCACCAACATCATTAATGAAGGGAAAACTTCTTCAAGCACGTTTAGCAAAACAAAACGAATTGTTAACGCTCATTCGGTCGGATACAGTCGGCTCGAGTCAAGTTCAGCCAAGCAAGAGAAAAAATCAGTCAACAGTGCGGGAAAGAGAGATAGCGAGATTAGGATTCAATCTTAATCGCGACTCCCCCTAGAACAAACTCCGGCGACGTTGCCGATATGATTGACGTATCTCGCAGAAATAGAAAAAGAAACCGCAATTGTAATAAATACAAGTTAGAAAGTAATAAAAAATGACATGCGCGCGCAACTCATGGCTGCAATGTAGCCAGATTGTATTGTTGCAGAACAAATGTAGACAATACAAATCGCACATTATAACATCAAAGAAGTGGTATATTGTCAAGTATTTTACAACGCCTTAAATCAGACAAAAGAAGAGCTTTAAAGTATGTGTTAACATCGATGGCCAAGGACGTATATAAGGGGGGGTTTTGGTTTTCTTCCCCCCCATTGAACTAAATAAATTATTTTTTTGAAGGAAAATATACGTTTTTGGGCGAGGCACCCGAAAAAAAAATTTGCCTTTGACGATATTCTGGGCTTCAGAGCTGTGCGGTACTCGGGTACGGTACGAGTACTCTTCACTTGTACTTTAATACATTTTCAGCTACTCGGTACTCAGGCCAAGATACTTTCTGAATCACGTACCGGGTGATTGTCTATATATTTTGCACCCACACCTGTCTCACCTGTTTGAAGAGATACCCAGAAATGTCAAATATGAAAGTTGTAGGTAATATCGGACAGTTTTCAATGATGTCAGTTACAAGTATAAAGTATACAGGGTGTATCACAAAACTGTGGCGAAGCAAGGTTATACTTTTTTAAATGGAAAACCCCGTATATTATTGTCCCATTGAATTAGCCTTTCAAACCTGATTCCAAATATACTAGGTTTTTTAGGGTGATGCCTTATAGTCCAGGAGAAAATATGACAAAAAGGGGTGGAATAATTGCATATTTTATTAAAAAAGGTGAAGTATAGAAACCACCAGCAAAATATAAAGGTAGATAATCATTCATATAAAAAATCCATTTTATTTCTTCAAAGTGGGATATTCAGAGGCTGGACTATGAGGAATAAACCTAAAAAACCTACTATATTTGGAATTATTTGAAAGGCTAATCCAATAGGACAATAATATACCTACAGGGTTTTTCAATTGAAAAAATATAACCTTGCTTCGCCACACTTTTGTGACACACCCTGTATACTTGTAACTAACATCATTGAAAACTTTCTGATATTACCTATAACTTTCACATTTGACATTCCTGGGTATCTCTTCAAACAAGTGAGATAGGTGTGGGTGCAAAATATAGACAATCACCAGGTACTTGTACTCGTACTTGGACTGCTTAAGAATATAGCAAATACCCGGTACTTTTTATTGTACTGAGTAAATTTCAAAATACCCGCGTACCTAAATGCGTTTTTACTCGAATACATTTGTTATACCTGATAGGTATTTTCATTGTTTTCGAATACATTTGCACTTAGTGAGTAAAACTATTGGACTCTAAGTACATATTTATTTAAAGATTGAACATATTTATTTGGCCACAAGTACATTTCCAAACAAGTTGAGACCTGACATTATGTTACGATATGACCAATTTTCAGCCATTTCTTGTTTAGCATACAGATGCATGCATTCCGTTGATCATTGTGATTTGCAAACGAAAATTTTGAACTTTTCCGTGCACTGTGACATTGTGTATGTGGCCATAAATTTGGAACCCTTATAAACTCTGGACTCTGGCTAACCAAACCAGACTTCAAAATTGTTGAATTGATTTAGGAAACCAAAATGTGTTTTTTGATGTGTGAACATCTATACCGCCAGTTTGATGGTAAATTTTGGGAAATGGGACGGAAGTGTCAAAGAGGAGATGACGCCATAACCCATGTGCAATGCTAGTGCGCAGCTACCTCAACAATTGCAGCCTATGAGGTGTCATTAGATTTTCATGTCAATGATCAAGGCTGTTTAAAAGAGGACGTTGCGTAATAACTTGTACCTATGACATCATTGGGTATGCAAGGTGACATTAGAATATATTCATAAATGTACTCGGTACTTTGAATACTTGGGTATTGAAAACCTGTAATTGTACTCTGTACTCGAGAACATTTTACGCTAAGTACTTGTACCCGGTACCCGAGTACATTTTGCCTATACTCGAAACAGCTTTGACTATGCTACGCCCGGTCACCTATACATCGTCTGGTCTAAAATTGAAACCCCTTCCTGCATAGACCCAGATCCCAATTAGGTGTGTTTCCTGGAGACATAACAATCAAATTAAGAGGTAGCCTCTGAAAATATTTGATTAGTTTTAGCAAAGCCAAGTCTTCATGAGTAGTCCAATTCTGATGAAATGATAATTCCATAGACGATTTTCCAGGCAAAGGTTTTCCTGGTATCGATATTGTTGGTCTCATAAGCCCGCGGTAGTTTTGCAGTTTCAGATAGCGTTTCAGTTTTAATAGCGTCGGTGGATGAAACAAAAATCTTGGAACAGTAGCGATCGTTTCTTCCTTCTTTGGGATTTTTGCTGGTCGGCGATGGTCCATAGGAAAAGCTGTTTCGAAACGTCGCTTTGGCGTTTGCTTTTTAACATAGACAGGCATAATAGCAATATCATATAAATGGGACATGTTTGCGTTTGTTGCGCAGTTGTCTTGTTGAGGCGGTGTAGGTGGATACCACAGGCATTATTTCCATGGTATTTTCACATAGCCAAACCTGATTTGTTGCGTCTTCGTGGGAATATATTAACATGTAGTTTTCTTCTTCAATTTCTCTTTGACGTTTTTCTTCCTGCTCCTTGATTGTCGCAATTTGGTTTATCTCCCATATCCGTTTTTGTTCTTCAATTCGCCTTTCTTCTGCCGCCAGATATTCCGCAGACAAAGGCGATTCTGTGAGTTCTAGAAACTGCATGGCATATTTCTCTACCGGCGTTAACGTTTTAATAATATCATTAATCGTCTGCGAGCCTTGCTGATTTCTGGCTCCTTCTCTTTCTCCTCATGGTCTAAGAGAATGTTTTCGTCAAATTCGGCCAATTTCGCAACAGCTGTGGTTATTTTGGTAGCCTGCACATCTTGGTGATCTTCATAAGCCGCCAAGGCGTTTCATCCTCATCATTATCACTTACAGGAGTTTCCTTATCTTGTCTTTTTTCCACCAACTTGGACACACGCTGAGCGGCACTATCTTTTGTTTGATCAATATTGAACAAGTCTACAATTGTAGTATTATTTTTGAAATAGGCGGTTGTGAAATTACCACCTTCTATAGCTAAATTCCCAAGTAATCTTTTTTCATTTGCCTTCTTCAAGATGTTTTCTTCTATTGTCCTTTCGCTAATAAGTCTATAAATATGGACATCCCTAGTTTGCCTAATTCTGCGGCAAGGATCTTACGTTTGTGCGTCCATTGTGGGATTCCAGTCAGAATCGTAGAAGATAACTGCATCTGCTCCTGTGAGATTGACACCAACACCTCCCGATCTTGTTGATAATGTAATGACCCGGGAAAATAGACCCGTAATTTACAATGTCTTTACTGTAAAAATCATATGTAGTCAAATAATCAAAAACTGAATTTCCTGTATTTCAAATCAGTATCTATAAATTGAAAGATGATGAAACAAATTAGCATTGACCCATCATTATTTGAACTCGTAAATAAAAACACGGAAAGATCAATTACAAGGTTAAGCACCTAATTAAATTGGACCCAAAATGACAAAAATTTCGAACAGATTGCATCCTCCTCTAAAATGATGAAATTAGTTTTTGGAATAATATCTAGGTCGAGTGGTCGACCAATAGAACTGAATTACAGATGGTCACGACCGCCCATATTGTCAATTTAAGTGGGCGAATAAAAATAATATAAAAGGGGACGGCCGTTAAAGATAAAAATCAATCTTAATTCAATTGTCGAGACTAGCCTCAACAAATTAGTAGTACCTGTTCAGAAGTGGCGAATTGCCTCAGTATGAAAAGCTCTGGAAAAGGCGACATTTAAGTGAATATCTCGAAGAAGAAAGTAGTAAATCTTTCCGTTGTTATGTGCGTGCTCTAGCTGAATTTTGAAGTAAATTGATTAAGTATTTTATCGAGTGACAATTTAAATGTAAGTACTCTAGTGACTATTATTGTTTTTTTTTTACTTTATAAATGATTCGGAATGATAAGAAGTGAATTGACATTGAAACTTTAATGCATAAAAACTTGAGTGATTTGACTGTGAAAACTTTATTGCATAACTTTAATTGCCTTCGAGTATAATGACATTTTAATTAATTTTGCAAAGAATTAACAAAATTATAATGCTCTTAACAATATTCGATTTTGCGTAGGAATTATTAATTAAATAATTGTGTTTGATGAGGAATCCGAGTATAGTAATTGCTCTGTTCAAAATGATCCTTAGTGAAGGATGGGAACCACTAAAAGTAAAAGAATAAATCATTAAAAGTATGGGAAAATTTTGTTTGAAAATTGTTGTTCATAAAGTACCATTGATGACCTTAAGTGCCAAAATTTTTAATTAGGTTTTTTTTTCTTCATTTAGAAATTATTGTAAGGTTTTTATAAAAATATAGTTGGTAATACATATATAATTAATCCAGTGAGTCGGATTATGACTTAAATAATTATTTTGCATAAGCAGTTAGTAAATGACTTAGGAGTTTTAAGAATTTATAGATATAGGTGAAGGGTAGTTTTAATAGGAATGTGAATCGGAAGTGTTGTAATGTATAAATTTATAAGTTATTAAGAAAAGAAGAAGTAGGAAGTTTTTTTTTTTTTTTGGATGGATATTTCCTGGTCCGTAGTAATGAAATTTGAAGGGATGTGAAATAATTGAGTTGGGAAAAATAGAAGTGGCTGTCAGACATAGAAAGATATTTGCCTATTTTAACTTTGGTTTTAAGTACTGGGTGTCCTTAGATAAACTGACATATTTTAGAGGTTAATATCTCGAAAACGAGAAAAGATAACGGGATGCGGTTTTTTCTGGAAGAATAAAGATTTTTTAAAGTTTTTTTTCATGATATTGACGAATCCTGAAATTTGGTTTTACAGACATTCGATTTTTTGAAATAATAACATACTGCCTTATTCTTGATGAAACACCCAGTATATTTTGTCATCATCAGAAAGCGTGACTTTTCTACTCCACAAAAATGTTTAATTTTTTTCAATTATCATGAAATTGAATCGTTAAAATTGCACTTGGTTGAAGGGCGTACCGTCGACTGGACAAAAAAAAAATTATAAGAATTAATTTGTGTTTTAAATGCACTTATTTGTGTTCAATTCTTGTATTATTAGTTAACTATGCCCTAATAAGTTATTAAAAGTATTAAACACAAATTGAATCTCAATTTTTTTTTTTAGTTAGTCGATGGTATTCCTTTCCACAACGTGCAATTTTCACGATGCAAGTTCAAGATAATTGAAAAAAACTATAAATTTTTGTAAAGTAGAAAAATCAGGCTTTCTGACAATGACAAAAGATACGGGGTGTTTCATTAAAAATAAGGCACTTATTTTATTTCAAAAAATCGCATGTCTGTAAAACCAAATTCCAGCAAATTTCAGGATTCGGCAATAATGTGGAAAAAAACTTTGAAAAATCCCTATTCTCACAGAACAAACCGCATCTCGTTATCTTTTCCCGTTTTCGAGATATTTACCTACAAAATGTGTCAGTTTATCTAAGGACACCCTGTATAATAAAATATAATTTAGTAAACCTCAATATTTTGTTTCTCTCTTTTGCGAATAGACCCCCTCCACAATTTTATAGGTAGCCGCTCAAGGAAATAAACACCATCAATATACCGCTCGCCATTTACCATCTAACTAATTAAATAGAGTACTTGGGCGCGTTTTGCTACAATAATATAAATACAAATATCCTTTTGTTGCTGTTAAATCTTTCCATTATTATCTGTCTTTGCTCTACTTTAGTGGTTCCATCCAATCGCAAATAGATATAACCATGGATGATTGTTTATTTAACCTACGTTTCATTGATTTTTGAAGTTTTCTCATCTGTCCGTGTGAAGCGCACACCGTGGCTGCTGGGTTCGGTAATTCCATCTGCGAGCAAAATTTCACGTGATTTGACACGTGAAAAAGGATGAGTAATCACGTGACGTCCAATAAAATTTGCTCTTTTTGCTCGCAGATGCAATTACCGAGCCCAGTTCGTATTTTTTTTTTAATGACGTCAATGGGGCGGCAAATTATGATTCCGCCCTGGGCGACCATAGCCCATGCTTCGCCACCCAGACCAATATGCATATCGGACAGGGATGTCAACAGAAACAGCATTTCACCAGCTGGTTAGCATAGTGGAAACCAAATTGGCAAACAAAAAGGTGATGCTGGGTTCTTTTTTGAATATGGAGGGAGCTTTTGACAACACTTCCTTCGATTCAATAACCAGATCTCTTAAGCACGAAGGAGTTGAGGACACCTGCTGTGTGTGGATCAACTGTCAACTTCATGCTAAGAGAAAGAATGGTAGAAACCACCATCGCAGAGGAGAGAGTGGCGGCCAGGGTGTACAGGGGATGCCCACAGGACGGGATATTATCCCCACTCCTATGGAATCTAGTGGCGAACGGCCTGCTTCAGGTGCTCACTGAAGGATCAGGACACCGTGCCCTTGGATATGCTGACGACATAATCATCTTCTTACGGGGCAAATTCAACGCTACAGTTAGGGAAGAATAAGAGGGGTGGTGCTATTCAAAATTTTGAGGTTGGTGTACATGGGGCCCAAAGGGTCACTCACAGCATAATGAAAATATGGTTGTTCTAGTTCCCCTTACCTGTACCTATAACATTTAACTAAATTACGTTTTTCTAACTTTTTCACTTTCAGAGATATTCGCTATGAGTTTTCAAATTAACATCCTACAAATACTTTATGAGTATTCTACAGAACTGAGACGTAACGCGCAAGTGATTCTAGAGATTTCTCGATTAAAAATGATTTTGTATGTAAAGCGCGCAGTTTACAAGTCACTCAGTTTAAGTTTCGTAAAGTCAATTATTGCAATAAAAGTTTTTGTTGGTGTTAGTAAACAGGAGAGTTTTGGTGGTCCCGCAGAACTCGTAACAATAATTTAATTCCTTACGATTTATCAATTCCAATTTTTCCAGTTTGCCTAAAATTGTCCTGACTTCTTACATAAAGTTGCTTCACTTTGTTGATTAACGGTGCAGGTATTATGCTGGCCATTAATTGTTCTTCTTGTTCTTTTTCGTGTTTCAGCTGGAAAGTGTTTACGATGCAATCTCGTCTATCCAGAAAGCTTTTCCTTTGAACTATTTCGTTCAGGTATCGAAAATAAATGCCGAGCCCGTTGGAACAAGTCAGAAAAATTATATCCGAAAAAACCTAGAAAATAATTCTTTTGATACCTACCTTAATACATTAATAATAATCATAGTCTTACCCTCAGTATCCAATCGTCTTTGTTTTTGTATGTAAATAAAATAAGGGTGACTATATGTACCAAAGACACTATCACACCTAATAAGCTGGATACCCAATTTTTAGCTACACCAAAAAATATGTAGCAGCTATTAACCAATAAAAACGTATATGCTGGTGTGTAAGGGTGCCTACCATTAGTTTTTTTCAAATCGTGATATATCGGGGGGAAGAAATTTGCAAAAAATATCACTAGGAAAGCTACCACGCATAAATATTTCCATCTTTTTTGTCTTCTTTGGGTTATTTCTAGGAAAATGAGCCCAATAATGGAAAGGATAATTGTTGCAGTGTATAGGAATAAATCTGGAAATAGTGATTCCAATTGATTCTAAAAAAATTATTAAAGTTTCATTTGTTTCAAAAACCTAAAAAATAATTTACCTTTCTGTCATGATTTTCTGCAATAAGTAATATGGCGTGGGTGGAGAACAAAAAGAAACTTAATATCAAAAATAAGGAAAAATATCCGTAGTCTATTTTATTCGTGTATTTCTGGAAGAGGTTGTTGAGTTCTAGAGTTTCAAATTGTGACTAAAAAAAAAATACAAGAATTTATACATTTTTCTGATTATTTATATACAAAAAAATACATTCAAGGAAACTGATGTTTTAATCTCATTCTCACCTTGTAAATTTGCGAAGTTTTTCTGTAACCGAATGACATGCCTTTTCCTTGATATCATTATTATCTGATTAGACCAACACAATCACAATATGACACAAAATATGGCAATTGGACACTTTAGAGTATTGAAAATAATTATGATTGATCGTTTTAGGGAGGCGTCATGAGCATTAATAACTAGCCGCGGTAAAATTTTCTATATCTTGCTATGTACTTTTATTGATTACTGATATTAATCTTATCCAGTTATTATCGTATGTCGGAATTATATTAACTTCAATGTTCAATATGATATACCCGATGACTAATTATTATTATTAATTGACAAACAATAACGAAAATATTTAATTATCTTATCTAATTTAGGTAGCTACACCTGATTATTCTGGAAAGGGCTCTCCATTTCCAGTCATTCTAAAGATTACTCACCCTTAAATGCCCTCTTGTCCATTTTCTTTCATCGTAGCTTTCTGAGTCCTGCTGAACCTCAAATGGGTCATCGTCATCCTCACTCATAAGACTTGCTTGCCTTTTTATAGACATTTTTCTGAAAATGCATTTTCAATACTTCGATGTATTTTTATACAAAGATATCTTTAGAAAAAAAAGCTCAGATTTATCTGATACTTAATTTTGATTACACATGTCTATACAATGCTACTTAAAAAGCTAATCCCCTTATCTTATATTTTCACTTTTTTTTTTTGCTCGCTTATGGGTTCAAGGAAAAAATTTAATTTTGCAGAATTCTAGAATTTGATTGCCAAATGATTGTTTCTGGGTCTTAGATTTTTGTGCAACATAATGCAGAAACACTATGAATTCTATCACGTCGATTCTTTTAACGACCACTGTTGATTTCGGCTCAAGAAAGATTTTAGGGCGAAGGAAAATTTTGAAAAGCTCACCCGAGGTGTGCGATTGACTTGGAAAAAAGTAAGACTAAGTTAATTTAATTTGTATGAAATTCCCTTACCAATTGATGCAGTTTTTATCCAAAAATGAATAATCACCAATCAACTACTACCACAATATCACCAACAGTCCGTTTCTCATCTTATTGCCAACATAATACTGATTTTTCGCTATTAATCCTAAGTAGTTGGTGGAGGATTACCGAGGGACTGCTATAATCTTCAATTATTGTATGTATTTGATTATTGAAATATTTATATTTTAATCTAAGGTGATTCCCAATAATAATATTTCGATGGTGGGAGTAGGTACATTGTCACTGATTTCAATTTTGATTTTGATAGAATTGTGGATTACGACCGGAAATAGATTGTAAAATTTTTGTATTACCATAAGTCATAATCCTCATTCAATGTTTTAAATTTCTTGTTTGGATAATGAAGTCGAATTTGTACTACAAAATAGACAAAAGGTCACTAGTGAACTTCACATTTAAAAAGCAGAAGAAGATACCATTGGAGTTGCTCAGGAAAAGCTTCACAACAAATCGAAGCTGTTAATGTGCTTAGCATTAAATCAATTGTTTCTTGTCATTCATTAAAGTTAAGAAGTTGCTTCAAAACTAGAATCGAGGTAAAAGCATTGTAGTGAAAAAAGAGTTCTGAAGCTGCAAGTGTTAAAGTTTTTGAGGTACCTTGGAAGCAGTACTGATGGTATTTTCAAGTCAAATTGAAAAACCTTTCGAATGAATTACAAAATCTGAATCAAAAAAATATTGAGTTGAAGAAACCAAATTCAGAAAAACCTTTGAAGAACTATCAAAGACATAAGGCAGCTTCTGCTTCTCAGCTACTTTTTTGTATTCCTGCTTTTTATTGAATAGAGACACTGAGAGCGGAGACAATTCACATTGGCGAGATATTTATTACTTGATGTCTGTCCATGAAGCCTCAAAGTTGCCGTTTGGTCGACTTTTTGTCTCCAATATCCCAAGAGCTCACCAATTTTGAGGACTCATTACTCATTGCTCAAATAGTGGATTCTAAATTTTGTTTAGCTTAGTAAAGATTCTTTAGACTCATAAGAAAAATAAATTTGAAAATGACGCCAACACAAAATATAAAAATCATCATAATTATAGGAACAACTTTTCATTCTATTTATTATCACCAAATAAATTATTAGAATCAATTTTATCTACAGCATAACCACCATTGTCAATTCCATTTTCGCTAGTTTTATCATCGTCTTTCACCACAGCCCACGGCTGCAGCTCTCCAGATGCGAAAATTCCATAGAAAACTGCTCCGAATAGATAAATTGCTGCTGCGATGAAGTAAACTGTACGCCATTGCTCGACAGTCTAAAATTCATGAGATTGAGTGTGGGCTTTGATTTATAAGACAACCATTAACTTACTGGAGGAGATTTAACAATATAACCAGTGATTGTAGGGCTAATTATTCCAGGTATTGTGGCAAAGGTATTTGAAATGCCCATTAGGATACTTGCGTATTGTGGAGCTAAATCCAAATGATTTACACTAAAATAGAAATTTCAGTTAATAAATTATTCCTCCAAAAATTTTTCATTCCATTACACAATTATACGGGCAGAGAATTATAGAGAAGCATCTTGAATACCAATGGATCTTTGAATTATGAATTGCTTATTTTAAATTTCATAAATTTTGCTGGATGTTAATTTTTTTTAACCAGAATTTCTTACCTGAATCCAGCCCAAGCGAAGGCTCCTAAGCCTACTGCCATAGTCAAACACAAAACCGATCCTATTCTGTCCGACCAAAAAGCGGCAGTCATCATGAAAACGGTTTGGGAAAGAAAAGCTGAGCAATTGAAGACTTTCCTCACAGTCGTTGTGGATAAAATTTTCCTAGACAAAAGCATGTCGGCAAATTGACCAGAAATTTGCATTAAAATTGACATTACTAGATAGGGTAGGGCAGATAAGAACCCTGATTTACCTAAGTCATAGTTATACATATCTGAAAAAGAATAGGTAGGTATTAGTTTGACTAACACTTAAAGCTGGATAATTACCTTTTAAATATTTGGGTAGCTGAGTGAGTAGCGTATAGAAGCCCCAATTTTCGGCAGAATGCGACACTACAATAGCCCACACGTGTACAGAGCCGAAAACTTTAGTCCATGGGACCTTTGCTGCAAATCCTTGCTTTGAAACACTTTTTATCGAGTCTTCAATGTAAGCTAACTCTTGTGGGGAAATTTTCGAATCTTGTTGCGGATCACTGGAAATCGTTATGGTCCAGAGTATAAACCAAACTACACCAGAACAACCTAGAACAATAATGATTAATGAAGTTATTTATTATTATTTTATTTATTTACCGCAAACATAAAATACACTTTGCCATCCTAATGCTTCGGCTAAATAGGCACAGCCAGGCATAGCAATGACGGTCCCGACAAAACATCCAGAAAATGCTATGGTGGCTAATCTAGCTCTTTCCATAGGCGGAGCCCATTTGGACCAAACTGCATGGATAGATGGGTAAGTGACTCCTTCAAAAAGTCCCTCGATTACTCTTACGGCAATTAGCAAGTAAACATTTGTAACCACTAACCAAGGAGTAATTAAAGTAAGAACTGCAGTTACCGCCACTCCTATTCCGAACATGTTCTTGCCGCCGATTTTGTTGGCTATTATACCACCAACAAATTGAGTAGCCAAATAGCCATAGAAGAAAGAGCTAAGGATGTAGCCTTGTAATTCGTTGCTCCAATCGAATTCCGGACCCTAAAAGTTTTACTTTTTTTTTATTTTGAATATTTTCTCACTTTTTTTCTCGTACAATATTTTCACTGGTACCATTTTCGTTGGTGACATGACGATCTTGGGTCATGGCAACTATGGCTATGCTTAAATTGACTCTCAGGATGTAGGCATTGAAGAAACCACAAAAACCCATGAGTGCGACAAAATATCTGCGTCTTTTCCAAATTTTCCATTGAGGTTCATCAATGTCTGATGGGCTAAAAGAAAACGTACAGCAAAAATAAAATAATAAAGAAATAATATAGATAATAAAAAGCTCACCTTATATTATTTGTGCATATTTCCATATCCATTTTTTCCATTGCTATATTTTCTTATACTTTTCTGCGAACACTCACAGCCTTGTACATTAAAAAACTCTTATCATTTAGCGTGAAATATAATCTTTGTTTTAGAGGCAATAAGGACAAAGTTATAATAAATTAATAAAACCAAATCCTCTGACAACAATAGGGAAAAAAACATTTGTGAAAAGTCGAGATTATTTATTATTTTGTGCAAATACCTACCATATGGAATAATTTGTTTGTTAGTTGGTAATTGGCGAATTAAATAGGCTTGGTTTGCGTGACAAAAAAAAATAGTGAACTACCTACCTATGCTTGGTATTATGCAATCATATTCATTATTCAGTTATAAGTAGACTTAATAGAAACTATAAGGTATTGTTTGATAAAAGTGAATTACTTATCAGATTTATATAGGTACCAATTATCTATTTTAACTTATTAGTTATTAAATATCGACATATAAGTAATATGGAACTGTAAAATTAATGTTTTAGAAAATCATAATCATAATAACGTATAATCAATCTTAATCCTAAAACTCGAAAAAACCTAGAATATATAATCATTGAAAGATTCAAGATAAGATGGAACCTTATAGAGAGACAAACAGACAGCAAAAAAAAAAGGAAATTGATAATCTACTATATTGGTGACAAAAATAAGACGTACCTCCCATTATCGAGAAACTTGGAAACGAAATTGAATGACACCAAGTTCGGGATCTAAAGTGAAAAGTGATTTTCTAAGTCTCACAAAACTTTTTCTAAGTCTCACAAAACTTTTTCTAATTTGAATTTTAAGTTGTATTTTAGTAGTTATAGTGACTGTTTTTTTATCTTTCATTAAACTCTTCAATTAAAATTTTAAATATTTTGAGCTCTTCCGGCAACCTCCCTCCCCGAGGAGCTGTGAGACCTTGTCGCTAGTGGTGGGGCACAGTAGCTACGACAGCAGCGAAGCCGAAGCCAAGGACCGCTCAAGACCCAATCCAAGGTGTTAAGCAATCCGTGCCGAGAGATGCATAGCGATGGGGGTTGCACCGTCGCAAACGGAGCCTCTGGGAAACCGGGCGAAATCCCAGCGTATTTAGCCTTACTTCTGCATAGTGGGGCTCCGCAGGAGTGGACACACCCTTCCCCATCACTCATGGGAACAAAATGAACTCAGGAGAAAAACAAAAACAAACCGAAGAAAGGGAAGGAGTCAGCTTCTGACTCGGACGCTTCTATAGAACAACTATCAGAGAAGATCCAGTAGCAGACTCTGGCGGCGTTCCGTATCTTAACCAGAGTTACTGACTGGTATGGAGCGGTTTGTTTATGGTGACAGTCTGGTTCCTGATTATGCGATTTATGTGTGGAACCGCGTTCCATAACCTAACCAGATCTCAGGAGTGGTTAGGTTACGGAACGTTGACCGGAAAAACCAAGAATCTTGGTTAACTTACGGAACGCCGCCTCTGATAGCCCAATGCACAGAGAACTAGCCAAAGACTCCGTTCCAAGAACGTCGGAGGATAAAACCAAAGACACCGATTCGCTAGTTGAGATCAAAAAGACGAGAAAGATGGCTGCAGACGGGACATGGACTGGAACCAAACCTCAAACAAAGAATAAGGCGACGGCGAGAAAGACGGAGAGCACTAAAAGACCTCGATCAGAGTCTCAGACGCCAAAAAAAGACACCGGAGCTAAAAAGAAGCCAAAAACTGTTCCATTAGGTCCACAGACTGGCTCCTATAGTGACGCGCTGATCCAATACGCTCTAGTGCAGGCGATGTTTGCTACTCCCTCAAGTAGCAGCAAACCCACCGCAGTTCAACAAGACATCGTTCGTTCAGCGCAGAAATCTTATGGTTGACCTGCGCTAACCACGAGACAGACTGACTGGCTCAGGTAGGGTTGCCACCTATCCGGGTTTTACCCGGAGTCTACGGGTTTTCACTATGGTCTCCGGGCTCCGGATTACTAGGTTTTTTTATACGGGTAAAACCGCATTTAATTAAAAAAAACGTAAAAATAATTCTTATGTTCAGGAAAAAAAATAAGATTTAGCATCAGTGCAATACTGTTCCTGCTCTCCCTCAAGGATATTACACACTACTATAGGATTGGCTCATCGGCCTCGATTTTTGGAATCAAGGTCATATGGTATTGTACCGTTGTTGACGTTATCAACGGTGTCGTTATTTGTTTGCGCCAGGGGTCGTAGTTCAAAATATACATTTATGATGAAAAATATTATTTAATTTTGTATAACATAATAAGCAAAGCGGAAGATGCAAACGAGATCTAAAAAGGGTTGTTTTAGAATGTTGCCTATGGCCGTTTGCGCCGACCATTTTAAGGGAGTTTTAACGTTAATCAACGCTTAAAGTGACATTTTTACATGTAGAAATGGTCGATGCAAATGGCCACTAGTGCGGCTAGTTCAATCGTTACGTTAGTTAAGTCCTTGTTAGTTAACAAAAACCTCAGATTGTATCAATGTCAATATGAGATTGTTTTTGTGTGGCACAATCTGAGGTTGTTGTTTGCTAACAAGTACTTGACTAACAATTGATCTCTTCGCCATTAATGTACTAAAACCAAGTATGCATAAAGCAAAAGTCAGCGGAATCAAAGCCTGTGGTGCAAACACCCTACGTCAAGGCGAAGAACGACACGCTGTCTACGTCATCACTGGTGCTTTGGCGTGATGGGGGGCTAGAGATTTGATCTACAGAGCGGATAGGCTATCCTATGGTTGTCCTATCCTGTGCAGTGTTTAATAATCCTTGGATCTCCCTCTCCAACCGTCTCATCCGGCGGTGATGCCAGGGAAGACTTGTGTATAGATAGATAGAGTGTATCTAATGCATCTGTTATCAGATTTGTAGGATTTTTTTTTCAGCTTTTTTTTTCAATAAGGGTAGGTATTTTTTTTCTCCGGTTCAACTTACTTTCCAAGGTGGCATCCCTTGGCTCAGGAGAAGTATCGAACTCCTTCGCCAACTCTGAGAGAGTGTAGAACTCAGGGTTGTTAACCTTGTGGATCTCCCAGCAAGTCCAAGGTTCCTCGTTTTCGTGCCAGAGCCAGAAGCGACCTCAGTAGAAGTAAAGTTTGTTTCACCAGGGTTTGTACTTGCCACCAGCATTTGTCTTTCTTGTTTAACAAATAAAAATTGACTGAAACAAATCAATGACGTCAAAAACGTTCGTCGGTTCCTGAATCAGACGTCATTCATTTTAATTTGTCAAAAAAATTGATTGTGTTATATGAATTAATCTACGACAACCCTTTTTTATCAAGTTTCAAGGTCAAGTATGAACCCTAGTGAAACGAACTTTAGGTATTCAAGACCCGTCTTGGAATACAAATCCAGGCCTAAAGATGGGAGAATGGCTCCTGCTGAGCCGAAAAATAGAGAAGGAAGGATAGCTCCCTGGCCTTCTCTATAGATGAAAACTCTTCCAAGACCGGAATTGACTTCCATACGATATTTCCATGCCATTCCTTTTACACTTCACAAAGTGCAACTTCTCGAAAGCGTGACAAAAACTATACAAAATAGTTATTTATGATATAAGTGCTAAAAGTGACATTTTATTTTGTGAAAAGGGAAGTTTGGGTTTCCATACCTTTGAACAAAATAAAATCACTTTTAGCACGGATATCATACACTATTTTTTCTACAAACGCACTAAAAGTGATTACTTTTAGCACTCAGTGCTAAAAGGAATCACTTTTAACACCAGTGTCATAAAATGGCATTTTACCGTGCGTTCGTTATTTTGGTCTGTGTTCTCCGAGCTTGACTTTACCGTTCGTTTATTTAAAAAGTGTACTCGGTGCGCCTCATTCGTTTATTAAAATTTCTGGCACTTTTATACAGCGTTCAACTGCTCTGTTCGCTCGCTGATCACGTGATTACGGCTCCGCTCAGGCACGCTTTGAGCAAAATACCGAACGCAAGGTTAGACACTGACAGCATTCGTTAAAAATGACACTTTTAGTGACGTTTGTAGAAAAATTAAATTAATTCCACAAAACATCCCCCCTTAGAAAGGTAAGTGCCGTGTTGAGAACCTGTCTATTACAGTGGCTAAATAAACCTTTACATACAGTGGCGACAATAGAGGTCCCGCCGCCATCTTGTTCCCAACCTCTTGTTAACTTTAAATATTAATATATAGGATTTAAATGGACATCTATCATAAAAAATTGAAGTCGACGTAATTAATGACCATTATTAGTTCCATCATTCGTTGTTTTCCATGATTTATGATGAATGTTCACCTAAATCCCATTTATTCATATTTAAAAGTAACAAGGGGTTGGGAACAAGATGGCAGCGTTTTCAATATAAATATATGGGATTTTAGAACCAATCAAAAATGAGACAGCAATTGTCGCCACTGTGGGTTATAGAGTCACTGTACTGTCTATAAGTTTTCAGCGCCTCTAGTGACTGGGGGGGTAAGCTTTTGTAATTCTGGATTTATTGGCGAATGCAAAACGCAATTAGGGTTCGTTCGGTATCTTATTCGTTCCGGTGGATCGTTTGCACCATTGTTTGATTCTAGCGATTCAACACCACCACTTTAAAGTTTCTACCATTTTTTGGCATAAAATAATTGTGCCAAAAAGAAGAAACTCATAAAATCGGTAGTGTTGAAGCGCCTTCAAGGTAAAATTGACTAAGAAATAAGATAACAAATTTAGATATTTATTAAAGTTTGAAACAGAAAATATTAAAGAATATGGAATTAATTACAATTTATGCGAAACAGTTTTTTTTTCATGTAAATACATACATAGGTAGGTAATGCTAGTTAAGTTAAAGATAATAAGGACAGTTACAAGAAGTAATGACGTACATTTAACAATAGCTTGATGAAAAACTTAAATCGTAAATAAAATGACAAAAGAGGTCCTTTTCTCACAATCCAAAATCGTTGTTAACCTAACAAGTGAGGAAAGTGTTTCTGCACGTGATGGAAGTTGCAAGAATGACAACAAAAAGCAGAGTTCGGACAAGCCTTTAAGTCCAGAAAATACACTTTCCGCGTGTGTTAGGTAGAAAGTTTATGTAGTTATACATAATATAAAGCTCATTCAAGAAAATGATTTCGCCTGGATGATAGAATAAATATTTTTGATAATAGTCTATACCCTTTACCACTAGCTTTAAGCAAAGACAACGCCAACAACTTCTCGTTCAATGTAAATCGTCTAGCTTTAGGCTTTTGGTTTTGAGTACGGACTTGGCTTAAAATAAAGCTGTATATCAATGGATGGACGTGGTCTACGAGCCTTTGAAATTTGGTTTATGATGCAAGTAATTCAGCAGCAGAAACTTTGGATTTAAATGACGACAACCTTCTACTGATTCTTCTTAACTTATTGCTGGATTCTATAACTTTGGAATAAAGATATTTTTCCCTTGGGGATAGGAATTTTTTGCCTAGTGACGTTAATGTTCTTTAAAATTTGGCATCGTCTCTCATGACCTGCAAAAAAAAAATAGATCAAGATTGGAGACGAGCTTTTCGCACATTTAGCTTCTAATTTTTCTAGCATTCCACTGCAAGTTTTAGTAATTAGTAGTCTTTTATAGTAGTAGTCCTAGTTAGGATGTTTTAAAATTCACCTACTCCCAACTGGGTGGTTATTCATTAAGCAATAACACTTAGGTACCTACCAATAAAAGTTTTAAGAGACAAAGTTGGTTGCTGACTTTTTCATGTTTGTAGATGTGATGGTTCCACTTGGTGTAGCAATGTCTGCCCGAATTGCAGAAGTTTCAGTAGATAAAAATTGACGACATGAAGGGCCTGGTTGATCTAAAACAGAAATTTCGTTAACAATGATTCTACCAAAAAAGTTTGGATACACACATTGTAGAATATGGTGTACCTGTATGTAACCAGGAATATTTTAATTATTGTGTCTCCTGATAAAGGAATAAACATTTAAAAAAAAGAAATGAATAATATTAGCTTTGTTCCAACACAGCAGAAAACCGTACAATGTACCGTCACGATTCTGCGCAGAAACTAAAATTGTTATACTGAGTGGTTTCGAAACCGTTCATGGGACGATTTTTTGACGTGTTGGAACAGAGTTATTATGTTTACCTACCTATGTCAATCATAGTTGCGAAACTAATTTCTGAAGGCGTCTTAGGACTCTTCGACGAGTTTCAACTGTGTCGATCTCCACTTTTTGCCATTTTGGTGATTGTGGTTTATCAATTAACGACTCCTCACTGTTTTTGATAATTGGGGCTAAAATTGAAATTAATTTTAATGTTTCTGACCTATGCCCCTTTAAACCTGAATTCTAACACGTTGTTGTTAATCAGAACTATGGGGAGGAGTAAGTGAAAATGTAAGTACGTCTTTCTCACATATATCTAGTATTAACTTACCTTCAGGGAGATACAGCAAAAGCGCAGCATTCCATGTGAGTCCTCGTCTGCCTTTTGGATCGCCAACAATAAATTCTCGACGAAAATGTCTTGTTCACACTCTATAATTATTATAAGCCTTCTCGACACTGAGGCTATTTAGTAAAGGATTGCGAACTTTTTCTAGCCATTGTTTCATTTTTTCGGCATCTTTTGGAAACCGGAAATAGCTGCTGTATTTGTCACCGCACCCCGGAACACAGCATTTCTGATGCTTTTCAATTAACAAACTGGGAGAAGACATTTTGAGATAATAATTATTGATAATTGATAGGTAGGTAATTGATAATTCTAAATGTTGGGAGAAGTTCAAAATTTAAATTTTGACGACTGGAAATGACAAAATAAACTTCAAATCTTGGCGAACGGGCCGGCAGGAAAAAGAAAACTTTAATAGGTTGATTGAAGCGCCTCTAGTGATTGGAGGGGAAAGCTGAAACGACTAGACTGACGTCTCTCATAAGACTTACATTTCTAAGGGGGGATGTTTTGTGATTAATTCTAGTTTGAATAATAGCTATTTATATAACAAGTACATAAAGTAAGGCTTTATTGTACGAATAATTTTATGGCCGAGCGAGCTTGCGAGAGAGGCTATTAAATAATGAGTCAATAAAGCCTGTTTATGTAAGCGTTATATACATTATTTTATGTACGATTGCGACTGGTTTTTGTTAAAAATTTAAAAAAATTAATGAAAAAAGTAAAATTCGCGTAGGTATACCTGTGTCACCTTGGCAGGTTGTCAGGACCTGTTTCACCTTGTCAGGTAGTCCTGGAGTGCGTTCAAGGATGGCAAAGCTAATGCCAAAACCTACTTTTCCCCCTCCACCGGTAATGCCAAACCACGTAGGTTGGAGCCGAACTCGAACGCAAAATGCCAATTTTGGCTTGGCTGTAGCCATTCCTGAACGCAGCCCAGGTAGGCAATAAAGTAGCACTTTATTTTACTAGTACAATAAAGTGCTTCTTTATTGAGGCTAAACTGTTCTATAAATAGCACCTTATAGGTCAATCGGACATAAATACTAATTTTAAATTTAAAAAATGAAAGAAATAAAGAAACGGAAAAATAGAATAAATAAAGTTCCATTCCATCGATTCCATTGCTGCCATTGCCACAGAAATAATAATATATCCTACAATATATCGTTCTCTGTCTCGTTGTTTTATTTTTTGATTCTCAAGTTGTTAATTGAGTTCACTCTTCTGTCAAATCACAGCTGAGAGCTGTTTACTTTTGACTTGACATTCTATTAAAAGGACTGGGAATCTGGGGACTATAATTTTTTATTTAAATTTTATTGACTGATTTTCTTCAGCTTCAGCTGCAAGCAACCTCCGGGCCCTTTAAATTTAAAAAAAAATGTCTTTGCTCCGTTCTTTGGGTAAAAAACAGCTGGAACTTGCTGGCAATTGGTGAGTATTTATTTTGTTTCATTGAGTCGAGTCTAATCGATTATGTAATTTGAAATATTCTAATTATTCTCATTTTTCACATAAACTCTTGTTACAAAATCAAATTTCATTTACAGGTTAGGTAGTGCAGGAGTCTATGGAGCAACAGCATCAGGCCTCGTAGTCTATTTCACAGATTGGAGAGTCGTTGTAGACTATTTACCTTTCTACAATGGCAAATTTCCCAAAGAAGAAGAAGCATAAAATGTTAATTCGATGTAGTTGAATTAAAATACAAAATCTTTGTTAATGCATAATATATTATTTATTAAATAAATCTTGTACGAAACACAATCCACACTAATAATCTGCAGCAGTATTAGACAAATAATCCCTCCGTCCAATATTCGAAGCTTGCTTGTTCTGTTGCGCTTCCAATTTAGGACAATCAGTAATCCTATGACCCAAACCGCCACAATAACTGCAGCCCCTTTCATCACCAACTTCCAAGTATTTCTCACTTTCAGGACAAATTTCTGATAAGAAGGCTGGGACTCTTTGTTTAGCCTCAATTAGCAAATGCTTCAAATCCAGCAGAACCATTTCGTCATTAGACTTATTGATAAACGTAGTAGCCAGTCCTTTGTTGGCTGACCGCCCAGTACGTCCAATTCTGTGCACATAATTCTCAACATCATCAGGCATGTCATAGTTGATTACGTGTTGGATTTCTGGAAAGTCTAGACCTTTTGAAGCAACATCTGTGGCTACGAGAACATCTTTTTCTTGCTTCCTAAAAGCTTCTACAGCCTTGGAACGTTCTTCTTGATCTTTGCCTCCATGTATGGCCACTGCTTCAACACCCTTTAAAAGCAAATACTCATGTATTGCATCAACATCTTGTTTTTTTTCAGCGAATATTAATACTGGTGGTGGAGTTTTTTGAAGGCACTCCAATAAATAAACGATTTTGGCTTCTTGTTTTACATATTCCACTTCTTGGGTAACATTTATTGAAGCCGCTCCAGCTCTGCCTACATTGATTGTAACAGGTTTCACTAGGGCTGATCTAGCAAAGTTTTGAATTTTTTTAGGCATAGTAGCTGAGAAAAGTAAGGTTTGTCTTTGACCGTTAAAATATGAGAAAATTGTACGAACATCTTCTTCAAAACCTAAATCGATCATTCTATCAGCTTCATCCATACATAAGTATCTGCAAACAGATAGTTTTACAATTTTTTTTTCTAGCATGTCCATTAATCTTCCAGGGGTTGCTACCATTATGTGTACGCCTTTTTGAATTGTTTCTATCGCTTCATTTACTGGTACCCCACCAATGCAGAGGCAGCTTCTGATTTGGGGTAACCCTTTTTTGCTTGTATGTCCACAAAAATATTGAATAATATCAAAAGTTTGCTTAGCCAATTCTCTGGAAGGGCAAATAACTAATCCGTAAGGCCCTTCGTTTTTTATAAAAGGCATTTTTACTTCTTGTTCTAAGCAAAACATTATGAGTGGAAGTACAAAAACTAAAGTTTTTCCTGAACCAGTAAATGCTATACCAATCATGTCTCTACCAGAAAGGACTGTTGGAATTCCTTGTATTTGGATTGGGGTAGGTTTTTTGATGTGTTTTTGTTTAAGTCCTTCTAATATGGCTTCATGAAGCTTCATATCTCTGAAAGTTTTCAAGGGGGGTGGTATTTCTTCACCTTCAACCAGGATTCTCAATTGAGCTCTGAGAGCTTCATGTCTAGTATATGGCATTGATAAAATATACCTTGGAGGTCTCCAACTAGTTTTGATTGGGTCATTGTACTGAATACCTTTAGCCAACTCGGATACCCCCATCAAAGCTTTCTTTTCAGCAACAATTTCCAAAATTTCCTCTTCCTTCTTCAACTGACGCTCAGCTGCGCTCACTTTTTTAGCTTCAGCCATCTTACGCAGCTCGTTGTGCTGGTCCAGCAAGGGAATGTTATTTTTGCGTCCCCAAATTTCGTCTTCTTCCTCTTCGTCACCGAGCTCATTTTCGCTGGACTGTTTATTTTGGTCGGCGTCTTTAAGCTGTCCCAACCGACCTATTTTTAGTAATTGTTGTTTCCTGCGTTCTTTTACCGGAACGTAGGGCACATAGTTGTCGTCTTCGGACTCTGAGGACTTGTCCGAGTCTAGTTTTCTGTATTTTTTCTTCGGGGGTTCATTGTCAGCCATAACTGAACGACTGGGATTGCTTCTATTGAAAAACTATTGTGGAATTTATTACTGAACTTTCATAAAACTCTTCGAAAATGACCAGAGTAGTAAAAGGAGAACAAATTTTGAGTTGATTAGTTGATTTGTTGAGGTTATGTGGTACTATTTTTATTTACTTAGTAGCTTTGTTCCGACAGGAGACTGAAACCGTACAATGTACTGTCACGATTCTGCGCAAAAGTTGCGAAACCCTTCATGGGACTATCATAAGGGTGAGAATATATGGGACTAGATTTGAATTGGAATCCCACAATAATATATAGGCAATTTTTCGCGAGGATAACCAAATCTCAAATCAGGCATATCTTTTGGGGCGGGTTTCTCAATAGCGGGTCACCTCCGGGTTAGTTATAACTACTTTTAACTCCAGGGTATGCGTGTCCAGTTGCTATGTTTACCCCGGAGTTATGCTTAACCGGGGGGGTGACTCGCTATTGAGAAACCGGCCCTTGCTGGATTATGTCAAGGATGATACACACTACTCATAAAGCCTGTGTGTAACAAATCCTCCCCCACGCCAAAATACCAGTTGTGACGTAGGCAGCATGTTATTTCTCGCCTTGACGTAGGCTGTTTAAACAGCTGGGGGCGGATTACGAACTCTCGATTCGAACCGAAACCGCCATGGATTTCGAACGCATTCTGATGCATTCGCATAGCGTGCGTTCGAAATCCATGGGCCGAGTTCAGGGGCCTTATTCTGTAAAAAACGAAGCGTTCGATTCGGTAGAATTTCTTCGATTGTGACGTCATTTTCGGCATTTTCGGAATAGCTTCTGTGTTAAGCTATTCCGAAAATGCCGAAAATGACGTCACAATCGGAGAAATTCTAACGAATCGAACGGTTCGTTCTTTACAGAATGAGGCCCCAGGGGGTCGTATTTTCGAATTCATTCGAATACATTTCGTACACGAAATTTGATTGACAGCAATGTAAATTAGATGGGTAGTATTCGAACTCGCATCAAATTTCGTATGCGAGAATATTCGAAAATACGACCCCAGGGGAAATAACGCAAAGGGTGCGAGTGCGATTTTATAGGTGTGCCTGAATTGACAAATAGGGTACTTGCATGAAAAATTAAATTGATTATTGTTTATTGCAAACTGTAGGAAATCGAAAAAAAAATCGATGCGTGTTTTTCTATTTTGTCCAAATATGATTATTTCGGAAGTTATTAACAAATATTGAGTTTTATATATATAAGGCCTATTCGGGTTTGGAAAAAGTACGGTTCTAGAACGATCCAAAAGCATCGCACAGTTTAGTATTGATATTTGTGATAGCCGAGTCGTTGTCATTTTGTTGATTGATAAACTGTGCGATTGTTTTGAACAGTTCTAGAACCGTCCTTTTTCGAAACCCGAATAGGCCTATAGATATACTGAGCATGTGCGACGTCACAACTCACAACGTATTATACCTAAGTTATGACGTCGGAAGGACATTCCAAAGCGTTGTATCTCCGTCAATTTTTGACTCACAAGAAAAAGAAAAAACACGTGTTAACTTATTTTTCATGGACTATCGAAATCCGCAATAAAAAAATTTGATGCAAGGAGCCTATTGTCGCACCGGTCACGGTGTCACACTTATACTGGATGTGTCATTCCTGAACTCGCCCCTGACGCCTCAATTATGACGTCAGCAATGGTGGCACACGAATATAGCGGAAATTACCGAAAACAATAAGGCCTATAAGCACTCCGAGTATGTATTTTCCTTGGGATTATGTGATGTCATACTGCCCTAACTTCCTTACCATCAAATTCTGGGATACTCGCGGATCAAGAACACTTTATTTCTTCTGTGAAAACAGACCAAAAATCAACTTTAAATAGACGAAAAAATTACCTCATTAGCACAGCCTGAATCGCAAGCATTCCATCGAGGTCTGTGGGTAACCTTATCACTATAATTTGCTGATAGTGACGTCACTCGCAGGCCCAGAATTTGATAGAGAGGGAGTTAGGGGAGTATGACACAATTGACACATCACATAACCCAGCGTCCAGCGAACTCGAGTATTCTTGATTCTTGCCAAAAAATGTAATGGTTATGCCAGGTTGATATTGTCCAAGTGCTTGGTCCAATTAAAGCTTCGATGAGATGAGAACTTGGACCAAAGTAAGTTGGCAGCCAGCCAATTCCACTATGTTAGGACCTATCCAACTGGACTTGGATAAACAGTTCATACGATCCAAGTATCGTCCAAGTGAGGCGAGCCAGAGCCGAATTCGTTTTTGTCATCTTTTTCTTCGATTCGCTCCGAAATTTTGACAGGCACGTGATTTGTAAATTGAAATTGTCTGATCCAGTCACGTGCCTGTCAAAATTTAGGGCAAATCGACGAAAAAGATGACAAAAACGAACTCGGCTAAGGTTGACACGGTCTTGTATACTTGAATCAAGTACCTTTGGACTCTGCGCGTGGCTCATTTGGAAGATACTTTAAGATCATCATATCAACTGTATCCAAGTTCAGTTAGATCTAACATCCAAGTAAAGCCAGGTTCACACGGTTCAAAAGTGTACTTGGATCAAATATCCTTGGACGCCGCGCGCATCTAGATGTCCATTTAAATCCTATATATTCATATTCAAAAGTAGCAAGAGGTTGGGCACAAAATGGCGGCGGGACCTCTATTGTAAGTGGCTGCCTACGCACGACAACCCTTTTTTTTTTCAAGTGTTGACGTGTTCGATTGCCAGCATTATGAGACAGCTATTCCGATTTTCTATGATTTAGACAAAGATAGACTGGGCTGCGTTCAGGAATGGCTACAGCCAAGCCAAAATTGGCATTATGCGTTCGAGTTCGGCTCCAACCTACGTTCCGGGGGTATTCCTATTGGTCCATCATTTTGGCGCCAAAATATTGGACCAATAGGGATACTACCGGAAAAACGGACGCATGAAAAGTAAGCCTAACATGCATGGGACAGTTTTTGACGTGTTGGAACAAACCTTATGGCCGTGAGAAGAATACATGGAACTAAATTTGAATTTGAATCCCAAGATTTTGGTAATACCAGGTTGACACGGTCCAAGTGTACCTACTTGGATGAAGTACCCTTGGACTCTGCGCGCGTCTCATTTGGATGGTTTGGATGATACTTTAGTTTAGATTGTATCAACTGTTCATCCAAGTCCAGTTGGATAAAGCTTACTTTTCAAGCATCCGTTTTTCCGTCAGTCCGTTGATCCGGGAGTATTCCTATTGAACAAATATTTTGGCGCCAAAATATTCGACCAATAGGAATACGGATGCATGAAAAGTAAGCTTAAAGCCTAGTACTCATAACTGCGAAATTCACTCTTTTTTGACATTGCTTCGACAATTTGACGTTTGATTCACGCAATGCCTCATTCTCACTTGCGCGAAATTCGCTCTTTTTGCGCGAAGTTTGCTTTTTTTTGACATTGCTTCGACAATTTGACTTTTGATACAGGCATAAAACGTCAAATTGTCGAAGCAATTTCAAAAAAATGCGAATTTCGCAGTTATGAGTACAAGGCTTAAGTCCTAACATCCAGAGGCGTTTCCTCGTGTCCACTTTTTTGGAACTGGTTCGAAACTGTTTCGCTCGCGTGCTCAAAATGGTCAGCAGGAAAGTGGCTATAAGATGTTTCTTTTTGTATTACTTCTTGCAACTCAAATGGCAGTTTACAAAATCCATGGATTTCTTGAACAAGACACAAAACAGACTTTATGTGCGTCCAACTCAAGATTGTTTGAGAGAGGAGAGAGGTAGGTTGACTGATAACTTTATGACGTCATCTGGGGTGCCTCAACATAATGCAAATCTTCATAAAGCACCCCAGATGTGATATCGAGTTACCCATTAAGACAACCTATGAACTTTAGAAACCTTGGGTCCAACTGCCAAAAAATCGCGTAGTGTGTGTTGAAAACAGGCTGACGATGGAACACGATGTTGTTAATCGCGACATTGAAAACCGACGAAGAAGAACGTAATGTGTGGAGGCCTTAAAGGGCTCCACACACTACGTTCTTACTCATCGGTTTTCATCGCCGCGGCCCGCGAGGAAACACGACTATCTAAAACCAAAGTGTGTGGTAGAAAACCGTCGTATTTCATCGTCGGTTTAAAATTAAGTTCGGGCTTGATTTTTGGCACCACGGTTCAAAATTTCGTTCCAAAACCGTTATATGTGGATCCCGCCGCCAAAAAATCGCGTAGGTGGTCGAAACAGGCCGACGATGAAGCTGTTAATTGCGATGATGAAAACCGACAAAATAGAATGTAGTGTGTGGAGCCCTTAACAGCCTGGTTTTGTCACTGAATTCAACTCATTGAAAATTACTGTTGTATGCATGTACCCTTAAGAAATTTTAAGGTATAAACATAGGTACTTTAACACACAAATACTACACTACATTTAATCTCAAAATCATAAGCTTTATTGACAATTATTATCAACACATTATTGATAACATTAAAATATAAACAATAAATATGAACATATTTTATATTTTCTAAAAAAAAAATTATCAAAACATTTTTAATTTCGAATTCAAAAGCAACAACTATTCAACCAATAAACATTTAATGCAATAGTTAGTATCGATATAAAAAAAAAATCACATTGAAACAGTGTTAAAAATTATCCCAGTCATTATTAAACAGTTCGGTTTTCAATATTGGTAACACCCAGTAGGAATGCGGCTATTCCAAAACCTATTAAAAGGATATTTTAGGCTCAAAAAATTATAGAGTATGTAACTTAAAACTCATAAAAATTATAAGATATTTAATTTGCTGTAAATAGAATGACTAAAATATCCTTTCATCTAAGAAAAACGTAATTTCTGCCACATTAAAATACCAAATTTTGATGAATAATGACGCAGTCGTGGTTCAATAAATAAATATTCGGCTATATTTTATACTTTCTTAAGACGAAAGTAATTTTTGTATAGCACCCGTCGCTTCTGGTCCCAGAGAACTTACAGCGTGCGCAAAATCTTGAGCGAAATCTCTGTTGAGAGTCTTGATGAATTCTATCAAAATGTGTTTAGTATCTGAAATCAATTTTGCAATTACATTTACCAGTAAACACAAAAAAAGGTCTTACCTTCATTGGGAGTCTGGTCTTTATAATAAACGTGAACACAGGCCTTCATGACATCACCAAGATGTTGCTTCAGCACCGGATTGCCTTGCTGGTAAAGCATGGCAAAACATTTTATCACAGCTTCGTTTTCTTGGAAGTCGTCTCTTAGAGGAAGTTTTTGGATAAATGCTGGAATGACCTACACAACGTATTAGTAATAATATTTTTTTTGCGAATAAAATCAACCCACCTGCTCCAAAGGTATTCCTCCAGGATTAGCCATTATCATTTTAGCTAAAGCACCGCAAATATTATCTAAAGTACCAGAGTGGCTTTCTTTGCTTACAGCTTGAGACAGAGATTGTAAAATTTCATTGTAGTAATTGAAGACTCTATCTTTCCCATGCAAAACCATTTCCCCGAGTCCAAAAATGGAATTATTTCTAACTTCTTCAGCGGAATCTTTAGCCCCAGTAAGCCACATTTTTAGTAGATCTGGCACAAATCTTTCCACATACACATCCAGCGATTTCATACATTCAGCTAATGTTCCATAAGCAAAAGAACGTTGACTGATGCTACTATGTTTGGCAGTTCTTGCGGATAAAAGTTTGAGAACGCTAGGGAAATATAACGCAAAATCGTCTGGGGAAATGGCAGCTGCGTATTTGGGAATAACGTCTCCAGCCGATTCTAGGAGGAGTTCGTCTTGTTCAGCTTCAGTATCGTCTTCGTTGTCAGTTTGAGTTCCCAAGTCTGTGTCTTGGCACATTGTCTGAAAGGATGGGGAAAAAAACAGTAATTTTTCATCAATTGAACTTTTGAGGTTTATGCAACTGCAATTTGCGTGATTTTTGTGGAAGAAGCTCAAAAATAAATCAGCCCAGTGCCTAGTTCAATCAATCAGAACTTCAAATTTCCAAGATTTATTCATTAGGGTCTCTTTATCAAATAAAAAAATTTGGAAGTGAATCTCAAAAATGGGATTATGAAATATTTCCACCTCCATACTGAAAAAAAATTACCTTCATAGTTAGAACATCTACAACGCAGTTCATTATAGCCTCCCTATGACCGTCTCCGACAAAAACTTCTCCTTTAATTTCATCCAGAAGAGCTGAATACGCATCAAGACAGTTCATTACTACTGACCGCTCTTCATCCATACGAATAAGCTCAGAACATTTTGGTATAAACATTGCCAGGAATTTGTAGAGGGCCTCTTTGGATTCTGGAGTATTTACCTAAACAATTCTAATAAATACATATCTTGTACGAAAATTAAAATAATTTATACCTTATGTAAAGCAATGCAAAATTCTTGCAATGCTTCAACAGAAGCCCTCCTAATGTCGTCTTGAGGGTAGTTGATAAGTTTGAAGATTTCGTCAAAAGTTTGCTCAATGTATGGCAAAAATGCGTTCCTAAGAAAAAAAACTCGATAATAATATAAAAATTAAATTGGCCTAGTTGCGTACCCAGTATTGGCACAAATCACCCTCAAAGCTAAGCAAGCCTGCTCTTTTTCTTCATTGTAAGAGTTTTCAACAGAGTACCGACACTGGGAATCATCACTTGATGAAGAATCATCTTCAATATCTTCTTCTCCCTTGTCATCATCGTCTGATAGTCCAGCATATACGTCGATGTCTTCTTTTTGTTCTTCATCATAGTGAGACTGAGAATTAAAACATATTTTGATGTAGGTACATATTTTTAAAAGTAATTGTCACTTATTCCCCAAAATGTTGTTCATGACATTTGCGTTTTTATTTTTGTATTTTTATCTTCAGAATCATTAGGAAAAAAACTTGAAACTTTTGAGATGCTATAGCATCTATAGAAGGTTTGAGGTATAATCATAGGTTATAATATATAGCAGAGACTTAAAAACAAAAGGTACTTACTTTAAAAAAATATACAAGTAAACTAAAATCTTACCACAATTCCTTCACTACTCTGTATACTCTCCATCATTTCGTGTACAATTTTAGGCAAAACAGGACTCAGTTCCTCTTTCATGACAATCGCCAGGGCGGCAAAAAGCGAGTAAACACTTTTCTTCACGTCTGGATCGGTAGTTTGATCCAAAATCCTCATTCCCAGCTGCAAAGACTCGGTTGCCAAAGGCTTGAAATTTTCCACGCCAATAGATTGAGCCACAACCGCCAAAGCTTCGATGGCGTAGCACTGAATCTGGTGTATTTCCGCGTTGGGATCGGAATTGATGTAAAAATTGAGGATTTCGATAATTTTTTGGAAATATGGTAGAATGCTTTCTTTGACTGCTGTGGCGGCTGCGCCTAGAGCACTGAGCGCATTCTTTTTTAATTGAATAGAGAAAACCTCAGGCGCTAGAGAAACAAATAATCTGTCCATTAAAGTTGGCAAATAAGGCATGAGCCCATCTTCGAGATTCTCACAGAATGTTTCTAGAGCATAAAAAAGTCGGTCTAAACTTGGAGGATCTTTCCTTTCAGTTTCCATTTGTTTTAGGACTTGTGCAAGGCACTCAAACAGCACTGGAAGCAAATCTGAAGCATATTGGCTGATTTCAGGCTAAAAGTGTATTCATAGTTTTTGCTCAACTATTCAATTAATTCAATTTACCTGTAAATGTTCGGCAAATTGACCTAAAGCAAACAGGGCAGCATTTCTTACAACCGCATTGGGATTATGAATAGCTGCACCGACACATTTTAAAAACTCATTCAGGTATTTGGTTCTTATACGTTCAGAGCATCCCTCAGCCAGAACCGCAAGAGCCAAATAAGCTGCTTTTTGTGCATAGATGTCTTGACCTTAAAAAGAGAACCCAATATGAAAGTGTGTTATTGTCAACTTTCATTGTTCGATTTTAATTTTGACTGCTTGTTTGTTTGCTGATGTATGGACCATATTATTTCTATTTGATTAGTGTTTTAAGCTTTGTCAATAACAATTTGATAGCATGTTCAACAATAGTGAGATTATTGTATAAGTGATATTCTTACCTTGGATGGCAGGTTCAACTTTTGTAAGTAAATAAGGCACAACCTTATCAGCAGGAATATGTAGAGCAATCAAATCTAAAGTCTGTGTGGCAATTGTAATTGAAGTAAACTGATCCGGGTCTCCCAAAAAGTACTCCTCATTACCTTCATCATCAGGTTGTTGAGCCATTAGGCGAATCAATACATCAATTATGGGTTCTACGAGCTTATTTTTTTGAACAAGCTTGCCTTTAGCACGGATTAGCCAGCCTGAAATATTTGTATTTGTTGGTTATTTGAGATTTATTTTGTTGATGCTATTTACCTACGACGCTGACTGCTTTTATTTGGACTGACGTAGGTATAGCATTGTTGCTTCCAATATGAAGGCACATTTCAATAATCAGTTTGACATGAGGAGCTACTACTGCTATGGCGTACTCGATTAATTCCTCCAGAATTTCGAATAAATCGCAGGCCCTTTTTTCGTCTTCAATTGCAAAAGCATTAATTATTTCTAGTATTTTTGGTAATAACTGATGGTACACATTAACTATCTAAAATATATTGAATTTTTTGTAAGTCCATCATTTGCGTCACGAGACTTACTTGTTGTTGTCCACTTATAAGCGGTACCAAATTTTTCATCGTCACAACAGTGTAATAAGCGACATTTGTATTGGGCTGTGGTAGTTTATTGAAGGTTTGGGTGAAGAGGACTGCAAATGAGGCAGCATGGACTATAAAGACTTTGTTGGACATTTCTGTCATTATCGAAAGAGTATACATGCCGACCTAAAAAAAAATCTTGAAGCTACAATCCAAGTCTCCATACACCTAGGTACTCAAGTAATAAGTCCCTGCAATTTTATTTAAGATTTTGGATCAAAGTAAAATAGGTATATGCTCGCACCAGAAAATCATGTAGGTATTTCAAGATTGTTAAAATGGGTATATCCTCGGGTATATCTTCTAGTTGTTGTTTTTCATATATTTTTTAAGACTGACACAGTTTTTTTGGATTGTCATACAGAATTACCCCTGGTAGAAACGTTTCTTTCTCATTTTTCAAGTCATAGTTACGATAATCTACAGCTAGTTACTTAAATCTAGATATTTGTTTTTGATATTTTGCTTGATCAATTTTGTTTAGTTTTTAATAACTTCCAGTTGATTTGAAAATTGGGTTATTTTTCCCATTACTTGTACCTGTCAATCATACTTGCAAAACTTGAGAATACAAATTATTGTATTTAGTACCCCAACATCCCAGTAGCCACTATACAGGATAAGTTAAAAGTTTTAGGGATTACCTATAGCTCATGGTAAACAAAGGCCTCAAAAATTGCTGGATATTTGCCTCTGCCGAACACCTAATTTATTTTGCTGAAATTTTTTGGAATAGTTATCCAGAAGGATGACAAGAGCTCTGTTCTCACAGAAATCACAAAGCAGTCAGAGCGTTTTTGATTGAAGCAAATTGCCAACAAACAGTTTTCTGACTATGATTTCTGTGAGAACAGACCTAAGATGTTATCATATCCTTTTAGTCCCCTTATTATCTGTATACCTATTTTGGGTGAATGTTAAATGTTTCGTCTAATTTTGAAATTTAGTCATGATAATCTACAGATAAGTTAATTCTGCATGTTTGTTTTTGATATAATGTATGATCATAATGTGTAGTTTTGGAAAATAATTTGTAAGTGATTTGTAAATTGTGTTATTTTTCTCATTATTTGGACCTGCTTTGTTTTGATTGGAATTAAGGATAACTTGAAAATACAAATTTTTGCTGTTTGTACCCCAACCGAGACCCCAACATCTCAGTAGCCATTATACAGGGTGGAATTTTTAAATGGAATCAATTCAGTATCCGAAAGCCTGTTTATTTTCTGGAAAAATAAGAAAAAACGGGTCCCTTTAGTTTTAGTTTGGCACATTTTTTCGGTCTTTTAATGGAATTTACCCCTCTCTTAAGGGTAGAAACCACCCCCAACTTTTTTTTTTCAAATGTAATGATATGTATTGTGATAGGTCGTTGGAATGGGCATAAAAAAAGGAATATGACCCATTACTTAGTTACTTTTTCATTTTGGTGATGTAGTTATGTAATTATTTTTGACATTAACACACTATTTTAGGATTGAGAATACGAGTATCAGGCAATGAATAGTGTGTTAACGTCAGAAATAATTACATAACAAATGGGGATTGTTTCGCATTAGGGTATTACCAAGAACAAATGCTGAAGATATTCAACAATTTTAACTGCAAAAAAATTGTGTGGAAAAATATGTTTTTATTTTTTTTTTCTCGCTTTCTAGATCAACGAAATTCAAAAGTAAATAATGGGTCATTTTCCTTTTTTTATGCCCATTCCAATGAGCTATCACAAGACATATCTTTACATTTGAAAAAAAAAAGTTGGGGGCTCGGTTGGGGGTGGTTTCTACCCTTAAGAGAGGGGTAAATTCCATGAAAAGTTTTTTTTTTTTTTTTCCAGAAAATAAACAGGCTTTCTGATACTGAATTTATTCCATTTGAAAATTTAAGAGAGGGGTAAATTCCATGAAAAGTTTTTTTTTTTTCCAGAAAATAAACAGGCTTTCTGATACTGAATTTATTCCATTTGAAAATTCCACCCTGTATAGGATAAGTTTTCTATAGCTCTTTTTTAGTTTTGCTGGGTATTTGCCTCTGCTCAACACTTAATTTATTATGCTCTGCTGAACATTTTTGGAACTAAGTTATCCAGAAAGATGACCAGATGTTATCATATCCTGCAGGACATTTACATATTTTTTAGTCCCCTTATTACCTGTATATGGGTAAATGGTGAACATTTTGTCTAATTTTGAAATTTAGGAATTAGTCAAAATATCTGCCTTGATGAATTCGTTATTTGTCTACAGTCTATTTTTTCTCAAGATAGATTTTGACAATGACAACTTTGAATCATAAACAATGCCGCTTATTGGTCACAAGATGCCGTGTACCTGCAGGATCTTGAAACACTTCGACAGAGTCTGGAGGAGACACAGTTGAGGGTTACTGATTGGTTCTCAGCGAATAAACTGAGTATGAATGAGTCAAAAAATATCACCCTAGTGATATCTACTAGGGAATTTGAATTGCTACATAATAAGCCAGTTATGTTCCTGGGGTCTTATTTTCGAATATTCTCGCATACGAAATTTGATAGGATCTCGAATGCTCCCCATTTAAATTACATTGCTGTCAGTCAAATTTTGTGTACGGAATGTACTCGAATGGTTCCGAAAATCGCACCCCGGGTGAGTATTGACCATAGAATAAGGTTTATAGTGGGGATAGAATGGACACTCGCGTCATACGGGTCGAACAACCATTTGTGATATCTGTTGTCTATGAAATGAGCTCATCCCATTGTAGCAGCTTGTAGAGCAGTTTCCTTCTAATTTTTTTAGATTTGCTTTTTATTTATTGTATGATAAAGACACAATTTGATACAAATTTAACAAATAACGGTTTATTGCAAAGACAGAAGAAAGTTATGTTGGTGTTTGGCAACTTGTCAACAAAGTCACCACTTACGGCTATTCGCACCACTACAATTGAAGGGATATTTAAGGGTATTGAATGTGCTGTTTAAAATATATTGTAACGCACGTCGAACTATACAACTACCCAATAAGTTAATACTAATAAAGACACGAGGTTCATCGCGATCATTGCATTGGGCTACTGTTGAGCCGGTCGGCACTGGATCCTTTATCACGGCGATTTAAAATATATATAAAAACAGGCGGAGGAAAGAGCCATGGGGTTTGCTGCAGGCATAATAGAGATAGACAAAATGACAAGAAGAATCAATTAAATTTCTACAAAAAAAACTAGATAATTTTTGGAATTCTAGTTTGCGCCATTCTATTGCTAACCCACATAAGAATGGCGCTAACTAAAAAAAACACCATAAATTGATTAACTTTCTTGTTTTTTTTTTTCAGTTTAAATTACATTTTTGTAATTTTTCGAGAACTTGTTTCTATTATCGGATTTCTAAAAAGATAGCGCCATTCGTCCCTATATTATAAATCAAATGCAAAAAAGAAAGTTGATATAACTTCAATTGTTAAAAAATTAGGTTGAAATTAAGAATGCAATGCATTCCTTGTTTCCTTCATCTCATTCCCACTAAGGAGTATTAATCGAAGCGGAAGAATACAATGATAGACTGCGTTAGGTGCTTCACGCAGGAAAAAATATTTTGGCATTGAGGCGCATCCAATACCCTTAATCCCAGTAGAGCTTTGAATGTGACTCTTGTAGAAACAAAAGTCACATTCAAAGCTTCACTGAGAATAAATATCCCTTAAGTGATAGCCGTGCAAATAGCCATTAACAAGACAGAATTGAATAACAAATGGGACATACACCAACCTCTCACCAGGAATAGGGACAACCTCTATACAAACTACCATAGAATACATAAAATAAAAACGGGAATTTCCTTCTATGGCCCTAAATTCTATAATGTGTTACCAACAGGTAACACATTACAGACTTTACGTTGTCAGTTGTGCGTCCCCTACTATCCTAACTAACCGTACATCGAGGGGTCAACCACTCTGTAAAAATTTGTACACGTATTGCGAAAATGTCGTTATTTCGCAAGTATTTCGCGAAATTGAAAGTATTTCGGTGATGGTAATTCCGACCTATTTTTTTGTGGTATTGCCGAGTACTCCGGAGTATTTTGAGGTAATTTGAAGTATTTCGAGGTAATTCGAAGAATTTGAAGTATTTCGCGGTAAGCCGAGGTATTTCGAGCTATTTAAAAGTTGTTTTTTTTTGTTATGTACCGAAAACGATTAATTCTTTATCACTTAAAATTGGAATATAGAATAAAAATAATTATAGTCCATCTTCGAACAGGCAAGTATATACCTGATATGTATTAGTAATCAATGTCAGTTAGTTAATAGTACAGGGTTATCCAACGATGACTGAACAGAGGACTTTCCCTGTATTTTTGGGAAAATTCAAAATAGCCAATTGGGAAATCTTTTCTCTGGAGAACTCAAAAATGGTACCAAAAAATTCTTTGAACCAAAAACCAAAGAGTTATTAAGTTTACGCCATGGATGAGCTGTTTTTTAAATGGAACAACCTGTTTTTCGTATGATTTTTGGAGAAGTCACATTTTTTTACATCTATTCTGTTGAAAATATTTGATATTCCGATAGCTTTTTTTTTTAAGATAGATAGATAGATAGATAGATATATCCTGTTCACAATCCGATGTCCACAGGTGCAGGTAAATTTATCACCTTTCCCTATCAAATAGCATTGAAAGGTGATAAATTTTACCTGTACCTGTGGACATCGGATTGTGAACGGATAATAGATAGATTTTATTTTAATATTTTATTTACGACTAATGTATAATGTGCATATTATATTTGTGATTTTGGCAGTATAATGACATATGTTATTCCTCCAGGGATTAATGACGAGTAGCGGGATTAATGGTCATTATTCCACAAAAGTGTCAGTGTCAAACGTGTAGTGCTTGTGGATTTGTATTGAAAATTATGAGACGGATGAAATTTGTTCATTGCAATCTCAAATAAATTAATTTGTCGTAAATAAAGTAGAGTATACTACTCGCAATAATGGCTATTATTCCCTCGGAATGTTACTCCCTCGCCGCTAACGCGGCTCAGTTCGTAATAATCCTCGGGAATAATAGCTATCATTATTGACTCGTGGTATAATCTACTATTATTCTTATTAATTTTTGCTTTGCCTGTTTAATACATGGCAACAAAATACAAAGATTATACCTGTTAACCTGTTAAATAAAAACCAATTTGGTTTTCAGAGTGAGAAGAGCACTAGTGATGCAATCTTTAATTTTCTTGAGGAACTTTATCTGGGTCTGAATGGAAGAGAAATGGTAGCGGCAGTGTTCTGCGATTTTTCCAAAGCATTTGATTGCGTGGATCGCGGGATACTGTTGCAAAAGCTGTATCGTTATGGATTTAGGGGCAGTGCTTTGACTTGGCTTGGGTCCTACCTGGCAAATAGGCGACAGGTGGTTAGGGGGCGTCACGGTACATCGACTGTACGGACCATTGATTCTGGGGTTCCACAGGGTTCAGTGCTTGGCCCATTATTGTTTCTCATTTACATCAATGACCTAGCTTCCATCAATATAAATGGAGCCTTTACATTATTTGCTGATGATACCACGATACTGTGGCGTGGAACAAGCGATGATACTTTGGAAGAAACAATAAATAGAGACATACAAATTATAAAGAAATGGTGTGACACAAACAGCCTGACTTTTAACATAAGCAAAACCAATCTTATATCATTTAGGGGAAACGCTCCAAGTATCTCACTGAATGGTGGAGCTGTGGAAAGTACAGACTGTGCAAAGTTTTTGGGAGTTTTTATTGATTGCAAGTTAAAGTTTGATACGCATATTATAATGTTAGGGAAAAGGTTGGCCTCTGCTTGTTATGCTGTTAGAATTGTACATGGTGAACTTGGAGCCAAAACAGCAAGAGATGTATATTTCTCACTGATAGAGTCTCATTTGAGATATGGCATACAGTTTTGGGGCTTTGCCAGCCGGCATCTTATTCAGTCTGTTTTTGACTTGCAGAAGCGGGCTGTAAGATATTTGAGTGGTGATGGTCACAGAGATCACTGTAGACCGCTGTTTATTGGGGAGGGGATTCTAACATTGGCTTGTATTTTTATCCTTAGTACAGTAGAGTTGGTTCGTAAAAAATGCAGGGGATCTGATGTCGCCTCAGCAAGTGCTTACGCGACAAGATATAGCAGTGAAAATCTGAGTCTCTGCATTCCTAAAAGTACCCTTACTAAACATTCAATTATATATGAGGGTAGAAAAATGTACAATCGCTTGCCGCTGGAAATCAAGAATCTAGAAAGTGACAAAAAGTTTGGCCAATAAGTAAAGAGGATGTTATTGAAAAAAGCTTATTATTGCCTTGACGAGTTTTATGCGGATGATTTATGTTTGTGAAGTAATGTTTGTTTTTTTTTCTATTTTAAGCTTTTCAAATTGTATTTGTGTTTTAAGGAATTTAGCTGTTTTTGATGTTTTTTTTTTTTTTTTTTTCTATTTGTTTTTCTATGACCACTGAGTTTATACTGTTTTATATGTTTTTATTTTCAGCTTTGTACATGAGGGTATTTAAACTCTTTATACAATAAAGCATTTTTTGATTTGATTTGATTTGATACCTCTATCACTTATGAACCAAGCATAAAACATTAAAATAAAAACAGCAATCGGAATATCAAATATGTATGTTCAACAATAGATGTGAAAAATGAGACTTCCAAAAATCAGTTCATCCATGGCGTAACTCTTTGGTTTTTGGTTCAAACGATTTTTTGGTACCATTTTTGAATTCTTAAGAAAAAAAATATTCCAATTGGCTATTTTGGATTATCTAAAAAATACAAAGAAAGTCAAAAACTGCCCCTGTTGAGTCCTCGTTGGATGATCCAGTACCTCACAGCATTGTAGAACTAAAAATCACCTACATCACTAACTATTGATTTAATTGTCTATCCATCATATCAAAAGACACAAAAATCCAAGTAAAAATTCTTCACTGCGATCCACAAGAAGAATCCATATCAATGAGAATTTTTTTAGAAGTATTGCGGGACTTCGAGCGGTAATTTGAGGGTATTTCGCGTACTTCGACGGTAATTCCATGGGATTTCGCGTACTTCGCTGGGAATACCTGGTATTTCGAGGTACTTCATGGTATTTCTAGGTACTTCGAAGTATTTCGAAGGTAATTCGGGCCAAGTGTACAAGTATTTCGGCAAGTGATTGACCCCTCGCCGTACCTTTACCGCAAATGAAGCTAAAAATGGCCGCGTTCACCAGATACAAACGTTGGTAAACGGTTTGCGATTGTTCTGCTGAACGCTACGTTGAATTTGTGTTGAAACCAAACATGTTTTGCAAACGGTCGCCATTTTTGCAAGCATAATTTCAGAGTGTTTATAATTTTCAACACGGTGTTTTGTGTGGTGACCTGTCATTCAGAAGGTGACGTTCTATCATTGAAAAGTTGAATCGTTCAGCAGAACCAAGAGTTTACCCAACATATTCTGTTGGTATTTGTAAACTGTTTACAATCCGGTTTGGTTCTGATGAACGTAGCCATTATTATTCAACAAAGGTATTTTCAATTTCAAATTTTTCAATTTCAAATATGCTTTATTGACAAAGCAACATCCTTAATAATATAAAATATAAGAACAGATAACAAGTCAAAAAGACACTACAGCAGTGGCACTAGCAAGTGGTAAAATGACTAACAATAAAAGAAAAATTCAGTACTTATTAGTAAATTTGTAACATTTTTAAAATTTAGAACACATCAGTTATTATGGCATTGTGAATCTATTACTAAATCAGGTAGACCCTGTCCTACAAGTAGTACGAAACATAAAACATAAAGTTGAGTTTTAGACACTTACATCACGATACAGACACAAGATCCTGTTAAAGGTTGTCATCAAAATACTCGTCAAGAGAATAAAATGTTTTATCTGCCAATAAACTTTTAACCTTATTTCTAAAAGATTTATAATTTTGATCCGTTCTTAAATTTAATGGTAGTTTATTGTACATTTGTATACTTTTATAAATCAGAGAATCCTGAGTTAGAGAGAACCTTGGTATAGGCAAAGGTATCAGGTTGTAGTTCCTTGTTGGATAGGAGTGCGCATGTGTAGTACCCTGGTACCTCTTGTGAACTAAACAGACAGTCTCTAAGATAAAGAGATCCACTAAGGTTAACATTCCCCCCCTCCTAAATAATTCTCGGCAGTGATCTCTGAGACCTGCTCCAAAAATATACCTAACAGAACGTTTCTGAAGAGTAAACACTGATTGAAACAAACACTTACTGCAGTTCCCCCAAAAAGCAATTCCATAGCGCAAGTGGGACTCAACAAGAGCAAAATAAGTGGCCTTAGCCATAGACTGACCCAATTCATAGCACGTTTGGCGTACAGCATAGCCTCCCGCTGCAATTTTTTTATTTAAGTTGATTATATGCTGGAAAAATTTTAAATTGCAGTCAATATTAATTCCAAGAAATTTAGGTATCCTGACTGAGACCGATTGACTGATTTCCAAGTTGAAGATTATCAAATGTAAATTTAAAACTGAGAACTTTGGTTTTTTCAATATTAAAACTTAGAAAATTTGAATCACACCATGCTTTTATTTGATGGAGGTCATTAGAAACAATCTCTTTCAAGAGCAGTGGGTCCTTATGGTGCCAAAGGGGCGTAATATCGTCAGCAAAACCAGTGAACATACACTCAAGTGGTAATTCAAAAAGGTCATTAACATACATCAAAAACAAAATAGGTCCCAGGACAGAACCTTGTGGAACTCCTGTGTCAATTGCTAAGGCTGATGATATGGAACTCCTGTTATTAACCATTTGGGTCCTTTTTGATAAATATGAGGTAAAGAATTTCAATGAAGTGTCCCGAATTCCATAAATATACATTTTATTCAAGAGTATGTCATGTCTAACGCAATCGAACGCTTTAGAGAGATCACAGAAAACCGCAGCTGCAACCTCTCTATCGTTCAGTTTCAAATACAATTGCTCCAGGAAACAGAATACAGCATCACTAGTACTTTTAGATGACTGAAATCCAAATTGACAATCGCTAATTATATTGTTACGTGATAAAAACACAGTCAGTCTATTCTTCACCACCTTCTCCACTATTTTTGACAGGGTATTTAAAAGTGAAATGGGTCTAAAGTTAGCTGGGTCCTTGAAGGAGCCACCTTTATGTATGGGGACCACCAAGGCAACCTTAAGTGAGTCGGGGAATTCACCAACCTCAAAACATTTGTTGATGGCCTGTGACAGCACATAGAGAATATTGTTTTCCAACCATGTAAAAGGATACCTCACTTGCAAGGACACAGAATTTTGTGACTAATCAGAGCTCCAGCTCAATGAATCAGAGCCACACGGTATTGTTTATGTTTCAAAGTTGACAATTGATAGAGTGTAGCCACTAAATACAAATTTTTCTTTCCATTGAGTCTACTTACCTCTTGTTCAGCAGGAATGTCACTGCTACATAATGTATGGACAAATTGCAAAACTTCTGGCCAAGTATCCTCAGGAAACTCATATTTGCCTATAGTTCCTATAAATTGAGCTATGGCGTTTTTGACAAATTTTTCTTGCTCATTGACTAAGGCCTGTAGCATACCCTGTTTGATCCTAAAATATTATATCTATGATATACTTGCATAGAAAAAATCACAAAAAAAGCTTCTTACCTTAGCCTTACATCCACGGGAATCTTATACCAGTGTCTCCGTTTACCAAATCTCTTCCGCAGTAAGACAGCAGCTGATTGCCTGATTTGGGGGTCCGTGGAGCCGACTATTACATCGCACAGGGCCGGGACGGCTTCGGGCTTCTGAAAAGCCTCCTTTAGCTCTTTAGTACCCTGAAATTACATGGATTTTATTAAAAATCCGGTCTTGCACGTGGAAAGTGAGGTTATGAAAAAAATATGTTTAGCAATTTTCGATACATATTGGGGCTTACCTCTAAAATTGTGCTGTTGCTTGGCACTAGGAGTTTGGCTAGAATTGATTCCATTTCAGTTCAGTTTATTTTGTATTGAAATTAAAGTTAAATTGATTTTTTGGATATTTTTATTTTTCTATCCAAATATAAAAAGAAGGACATGGGGGAACTGAACAGAGGAGAGACGAAGAGAGAAGAGTATCAGAGTATTTAGTTATAGGGAAGAAGAAAGATAGAAAATTAAAAATGTCAAACATCAAATATGTTAAGTGAACTCAATCCGTAGCATTATCTTGAATGAAATTTAGGCTAGATAAAGAGCGCACGATTGTATGAAAACTAAATTTTTTCAAACTAACGAATGTAGGGATAGAAAGCGTATTTTTTATGCGAAATCCCTATGAAATTAGAATTTGCAAATGTAAATCAGTAATATAAAATATTATGTCTGTTCGTGCAGAAATCACAAACCAGTCACAGTAAATTCCATTGATTGAAACTATATAGTATAGTTTTCTGACTGTTTTCAACCAATGAAATGCGCTCTGACTAGTTTGTGATTTCTGCACGAACAGACTTCTACTCTACTAATTTTTTGTATCAGAATTTACCAGTTTTACCAGTAGGTACCTACCTCTACCTTTCCTTGAAAGGGAGAATAATAAAAGTTGAAAATTTTAGTCGTTAAAAAAATCATTAATTAATAATCAATTAAAAAATATAAGGACTTGTACCTAGCTACACAGACAGCAGCAGTACATAAAAGTCTAGACGTTTTTTTCAGGTCTGCATTACGTCTGAACGTCTGAAAACCAAGAAAAGACGCCTAGAAGACAGTGTTTGAACATAACTGTCCAGCAGCACTATCTTTCAGACGTCTGCTTACGTATTCAAGGCGTCTTAAACTCAACGTCTTTCAAACATCTGCCTTAAGGCCCTTAAGACATCTTCAGGACTAATATTTCCTTAATAATTATTATTATAACTTAATTATGACTCATTTCAGTCATTTTATAACCTTCAATTTTTGTCTATTCGAGGCGCTAGGCTTTCTGGGATTATACAACTCACTGTACATACATTATTCCCATATGACACGAGAGGCTTAGCGAGTGATAAGCCTTTTGGGATTATGGCGCTTGGAGGCAATTATTATAAGTAGCAAATTCTATTATAGAAAAAAAATTGTTACATTTTGTATTAAAGTTTAGTTCGTTGTATAATCCTATGGTATAATCTTTTGAATACCACTCGATGTTTCAGGATTACCTAATACTTTTACTTGACACTCAACGCGTTACCAACAACACCACTCCTCATTCGGAGTCGTGGTGTTGCTGCTTAACGCGTTTCTTGACAGGTAAAATAAGTATTATCCGGTAATCCTGAAACCTCTTGTGGTACCTATTACATTCGATAATTCTCAGGTTTTTAAATTGTTCTGAAGCCTTCCAAAATTCTGCTGGAAAGTGTTTCTAAATGGTTTAATGAAATTCTTAAGTGTTCTAACTTACATTTTTAGGAAATTTAGTACAAATACTATCTTTCCTTTTATTTCCCAACAAACTTAACGCTTATTACAGGGAAAAAATAAAAATAAAAAAAAAATTAACAACCATAATAATTGTATAAAAAAAAAAAATAATTTGATTCAAATAAAGCCTTGATTAAAATATGATAAACTTTTATATAATAAAAAATGATATTATCAAATAGTCAATTAAATTGAAGAAAATGTTTTTTAATGTATATTTTGAACAAATGCAAAGATTTTTTATTTTTGATGTTTTCTGGTAAATCATTGTATATTTTTATGCCTGAATATAATAAAGATTTTTTGCCAATATTGGTTCTGAATTGTAATAATTTTAAATTTTTTTTTTTCTAGTTGCATAATTATAGAAATTTTCATTCTTTTGAAGGTTCAAATTTGATATTTTCTTTTTTGTTAATAATGCGTGAATACATATTGAAATTTTCAATTTATATAACTTATGTAAGTTCAGATAACCAAGAGGTTTATATAAATTAGTAGTTGGTTCTAGATACGGAAGTTTATGAATGCACTTAATAATTTTGTTTTGTAGTTTTTGAATTGGTTTTAATATTGAGTCATTTACAGATCCCGATATCCAAACTAGATGAATTTTTGAATGGAATAGTGCATAGTAAATGTTTTTCAAATATTTTAAAGGAATGTAGTACCTCACTTTAAATAATACGCCAACTAAAGGAGATAAACTTTGTAACATGTTGTTTATATGTTCTTTCCATGTTATATTTTCATCTATATAAAGTCCCAAAAATTTAATTGAATTTTTATACTGTATATTATTGTCCTCAAATTTTATCGGATTTTTTTGCTCAACTGAAATTATTTTTTTATCAACTAACCTTGCGTTCGGTATTTTGCTCAAAGAGCAGAGCGTGCTGAACGGAGCCGTAATCACGTGACCAGCGAGCGCGAATGAGGCTGCACCGAGTACACTTTTTAAATAAACGAACGGTAAAGTCAAGCTCGGAGATCTCAGACCAAAATAACGAACGCACGGAAACATATAAAATGATTTTTCAAAATTTATAGTCAGTTTATTTGCCTGAAGCCAATTTTGCAGCATTTTTAAATCATTTGAAATATTTGATTTTATATTGTCGAACGTTTTCCCCTTATATATAATTGTCGTATCATCTGCAAATAATCGTATTTTACCGTCTAATTTTAATTTTTCTATCGAATTGATGTATATTAAAAATAATATTGGTGCAAGCACTGAACCTTGTGGTACTCCACATGTGATTTTTTTTTAAGCACTTTGAGTTTTATTTATTTTTACAAATTGTTGTCGATCTTTCAAATAATTCTTATGGCCATTTCCACCAACTATTTTAGGGGCGCCCTAACGATAGGTATGCCCTAAACTGACATTTCTTCATGTAAAATTGTCATTTTAGGGAACACTTATCGTTAGGGCTCCCCTAAAATAGTTGGTGGAAACGGCCATTAAACCATTCGTGAATTTTACCCCTTATTCCAATGTTATATAATTTTTTCAATAATATATTATGATCTACCAGTATCAAACTCTTTTCTTAAGTCTTGGATAATTTTAAACAAGTCAGGCAGAACCATTGTTCGCAAACTTTGCATCCCAAGGAGTAGGAGTTCTTTTGAAATTTATATCTGCATCCAGCACAATTATTAGTTGAAATATTTTCTTCTATATTATCTTGTTTTTTATTTATTTTTGTATCCATATTTTGAGTCTCGTTAGATGATCCTGCATCTAAACGATCTTGACTACAAATATAAAAATCCTTCGCATATTCTACATATTTATTGTCTTGTGGAAATCCTTTTGGCAATGAGTTTGAATAATCTTCATCAGTATCCTCATCAGTATTTGAATTTGACAAATTTTCTGACAATGACATTTTTTGTTCTTTCTTCTTTGTTTTTTTTTTCCGAATGGACGCTTTCATTCTTTTTTTTGTATAACTCTCGTACTTGTAAAGGTAGATTTATTTGTTCTGATTGGTTTATTCCTTTTTTTTGAGTTTTTTTTGAATTTTTTGGTCTCTAATTTTCGATTTTTTTAGGAGAGTTTTACAGATCGACTTGACAATTTGATAAATAATTGACAATATTATAACTTGGAATTGGAATAAAGAGTTCTGGGGTACCTAGAAGTTTTTCACTAATTTCTAAATTCTGACAGATTTTTAAGAATGTTTGAGCTCTTTGAAACTCCAAAGTGTTCTAAATTGGTTCAAAAGGATTCTAAAAGGTTTCCAGTTCTAGACTCTGAAGTTTCTAAATTGTTCTTAAATGCTTCTGGAAATTCTGATTTGGATTTGAACTGTTTTGGATGCTTATTCAAAGCCGTCTGAAAGGCGTTTTTGTAACTTTTAAGCTGCATTAAGATTCTGGTGCTTTCCAAAATGTTTCTGGAGATTGTATAGAGTGTCTTGAGTTTTATCGGAGCGTCCTAAAATGGTTTTCAAACTTCTGAATTGTTCTAAAATACTTTTGGAAATTGTAAATCGGTTTTTGAATTTTTTTAGGCATTCTAAAATGATTCCTAATTTCCAAAATGTTCTGAAGCGATACCAGAATGCTTTTGGAAATTCTAAATTCAATTTTGTGTTTTGAACTTTCCAAAAGGCTTATTAAAGCTCTCAAGTGTTCTGTAGCATTCTAAACGGTTTCCAGTAACTTCTAAAATTGAATGAAAAACGAGTTCTGTGGGAAATTTTTGTAGACATCTTAAAGACGTCCATAAGATGTCTACAAAACAAGACGTCTTGCTTACGTCTTTGAAGTATCTTGGAAACATCGTTTGTTACAAAACCCAACGTCTTATTTCAGACGTTAAAGACATTTCTCTCTTTTCAATACGTACATAAACCATGATTCACTTTTAGGCCTGGTTGTACCAAATATAGTTGTCTTTAAGATATGAATTTACGACATCTTATGTACGTCTCCAAAACGTCTTCTAGATGTTCAGACGTAATGTAGACCTTAAAAAGACGTCTTTAAGACTTTTTTAAGTAGGTAACCAAAAAAGTTAGAGTCGCAATTATTTTCAAATTAAACAAACACTGGTCTACATGTTTCAGAGATAAATACATCTGCTTTTGTAACAAAAATCCTCATGTTATAAAATTTATATACCTTTCAATTAACCAGGATTACTGAGATTTGATCTTTATTTATACAATACCTATAAGTACCTTCATAAAAAAAATTATCAATAAGACCTATAAAAGTTACCTAATGCTGGTAAATAATTTCTGCCATAGGTACGCAAATCAATTTTAAAAAGCAGCTACCTAGGTACCTACTTCATTTTACAACATAATAATACGAGAGTCCCTTGTTTTAAATGATTAAAAACATCTACTGTCTAATCCAGTAATCATATAGGTACATTCACACTCTAGTTGTTGGTCGATGAATTTATTTTGTATAAGTAATGCACTCCGAGTTTTGCATAATTTTTGTGCTTATTACAGCTTTTTCACTTTCTGGAAAATCCCAAGATTGCCTTGTGCCAGAGCCAAACAATGTAAAAAAAATCGCTCCAAAGAAATATAAGCCTGCCGCTATGTAGAAAACAATCCTCCATTGCAGTACAGTCTAAAATAGAACCAAAAAAAATAACATTTCATTAAGACACGAAAAAATCTACTTACCGGATTTGTAGTCGAAATCAAATATCCTGCAATTATAGGACTAATTATTCCAGAAATTGTCCCGCAAGTAATAGAACTTCCAATAATTATTGCAGAGTTTAGTGGAGCGATATCCAATGGGTTGACACTATAAAATTAAATCTACACTAACGAATTAAGGAAAAACCAAATACACAATACCATGTTACCGTGATTGCCATAGATCCCAACCCTATGGCCATGGTCAAGCAAAAAACAGTCCCAGAAACATCCCCCCAGAAAGTTGCCCCTAACATGAAAGAGACTTGTGCCAAAAAGCCAATACCCATGAAGATTTTTCTAAGTTTCGTTATAGATAACCAGCCCCTCATTGATAATCTGTCGCTGATTTGTCCACTTACGTGTATCATAATGGATAATGCTAAATAGGGAAGTGCTGATACTATTCCAGATTCTGATATGTCAAAGCCATAGATATCTGAAATTAATTTTTGAATAGAATATTCAGTTTCAACCATAAAGTTTTACCTTTAAAATACTTAGGTAATAAAGTCAACAAAGTATAAAATCCCCAAGATTCACAAAAAACTGCAACATTCAATGCCCATGCAGCTTTCGAACAAACAATATTTTTCCATTTAATTGGAGTTATTTCAGGAGATCTAGATACAGTAAACGATTGCTCATGAATGTAGCGTAGCTCAGAATCTGAGATTCTTGGGTCGGTTTCAGGTGATTCTGATATAAAGTAGGACCAAAAGATGAACCATATTAAGCTTATGCTTCCTGATACCCAAAAAATACTTCTCCAACCAGCTACTTTCGCTAGATAAGCTAAGAACATCAGGGCGAAAACAGCTCCGGTGTAGGAGCCCGACACTGCTTGGCTGGAAACTCGACATCTTTCTTGGGTCGGTATCCATTTTGTGAAGAGCGAGTAGATACTGGAATATGTTAGTCCCTGGAAAGTCATTCTCAAACACCGGGTATATTATACAAAAAATTCTTACCTCAAATACCCCCATTAAAATCCTGCATACTAGCAAAGCATAAACGCTCCATTCTGCTAGCCAAGGACTGATTAATGTAAGAAAACCGGTGCTAGCAATGCCGCCTCCAAAAATCCATTTGCCACCAAATTTTTTACTCAAAACTCCTCCCAAAAGTTGTGAAGTTATATAACCGTAAAAAAATGAGCCCAAAAGGTATCCTTGGATTTTGTTATCCCAAGAAAATTCTGGATCAAGGTAGACTGTGGTTCCGTTTTCGTTTGTGCTACTTCTAGCTGATGTCATAGCTACAATAGCAATGCTCATGTTGGCTCTCAATGAATAAATATTGAAAAAACCAAAGAATGCCATTATGGTAAAAATGTGTCTTCTTTGAGTCCAGAATTTCCATGATGAAGCTCTTAAAATAATTATTGATTTTTTTTATATAAAAACAAACATAGACTTACTTATTGTCGATATTCATGATACCAAATGCTCAGATTCAAATGAACTAAGCTATCCACAAATGGTATAGGGATTTGAAAAAAAAAATATTTGAAGAAAAATTAAACAATTAAACTTTTTTTTGATAATAGGTTTCATAAAGATTAGGAACACGTTTTGGTTGTAGTTTCAGTAAAAGTAAGCTTTTGCAAATATAATAATGTTAGGAAATAAAAGTTAACATCATTAGAAAACCTGCGGCATTTGTTATTACGATGTATATATTTTAAAATTATCACTATATTTGTTTTTCATGGCATTATTAATGCACTACTGATTGGATTATTACCGTGTAGCTATTTTTGTAATACGGTATGTTGAATTTTTCACAATAGATCTATGCTGGTCGAAGTGTAACAATACCCCCATTTCATTTATGTTAAACAAAGTTTTCAGAACCACAAGGATATTATTGTCACGGCTTTGGGGTGTGCGACAGAAATCTTGGGTTGGTCTTAACTCTTTACAACTTTACAATATTCACTAGGTATCTAAATCGTATCACAGTCAATCTTAAAACTGCAAACTATTAACTAATGCCGGCCTTTATATATCTGTAATCCATTGTTGTAAAATCCAGAATAAACGCGATTATCTCTTTGCCCGAATTAGGCAGTATTTTTTAGATTTCAAAGTTGGGTTCTGTACACCATGGGAAAAGCGCACCACGACAATATATCCTTCCTATACTTATTTATTTGAATTCTGTGATTTTCACATTATTTAGATCTGGATAGATTCAAAACTGGATTTTTTTGAATAATTTAAGGGCAAAGTTGCACCTTTACCCCAATCTCCAGTAATTGGAGTAAAGGTGCAACTTTGCCCTTAAATTATTCAAAAAATTGCCTCGTCAATGAAAATCACTAAGGTAGGAATCTCGTTTTCTCAAAAATTATGGTAGAGTCTTTAGTTTATAAGGTATTTTGAAAAGTAAGATACCGTTCAAATGCATTTATTGCTCAACAAAACAAGGGATCTTGATTTTATTCAATGCCAGTTAATTATATAAGAAAATGTTGCCGGCAAATCGGTCAAGATTTCGCAGATCGAATTTTTTCGATAAGATTCTAGATTCTATCTACATGGATAATACTTAGATGGAATCCGGTTTTTTCTAATCAGTACAAAACAACTATTTTCGATTTTCTTGTGCTTGATAAAGCTCGCGCTGGCCACCCATAACTAGATTCTCCGGATTTGTTTTTCTGTTTGCAGTAAATCATTCTACCAAGGCGATTAAATTTTTTCTAATACGCTTTCAAAACAGAATCGGATTTGTACTATTTTTTGATTCTCTGGAAAATTTCTCTCAAACTGGCTATTGATTTGCTGGATAATTTTTGCGGAAGTAATCAAGAGCCGATAATAAGTGAAATTTTGATTATTTTGGGCTGATCGTCTCTGTTGAAATTATTCAGCAAATCAAGAGCCGGTAATAATCAAAATTTGTCTCGATTGCCGAAAAGTTATTCAGCAATTCAAGTAAATAAGTACCTATCTGGAATTATTCAAAATTTAAACTTATTTTCTCATTTAATTCTTCCTGCTCCGGATCTGTATATACGAATGATATACTGAATCGGCAATGGCAATAATTAATAAATTTAAAAAATAAAAAAAGTCGCTCCGATGCCGGTTATTGTAACTCTTTCTCGATGTGGAGGCCCTTGTTCTAGTTTTTGGATTTTTCGACAACTATCGGAGAACCTAACACCTTTGGGTGGGGCTGGGTATCAGTATAAAATGGTTGCATCGGGGTTGGTTCAATTGTACTACAACCAATTCAGTAATCAATGTTTTCGTGTTACTAAATTGATCTAGATATAGCTTGTGAAAATGTTCAAGTTGGTAAGTTTGTATAATTAAGGTATGAGAGGTTTATCAAATTACCAAGGATCCTAAAATAGGTACTCGATTTATTTTTTCTATTTACTATCAATTACTCGATTGTCCATCAAGAAAGAAGAAAAAAATTCACTGTCAGGAAGGTGTGATTCGAGTTTTTGAAGAAGCCTGATCGATAAAGTTTTGGAGCAGATTGAGATGAGAGAGAAAAGTGTTGAGATTAGTTCAGATGCTGACAAAGTCAATCGAATTTTGATATCTGAGAGGTAGAGCGATCTGCTGCTGATATGATGGAACCATTATTCAAGCCATAACTACAGGATCTAAAGAAAATTATAGGAAAAGGAAAAGTTTTTGTGTATCTTTATGTATAAAACTGAGTACCTAACTATTGTATATTATAAGGAGTCAATACTTAACTTAAACAAAAATCCAAACTGTTTTTTTTTTTTTTTAAGTGTGTCTTCATTGCTCTCTTCGCCTATGGTTCTGCAGGAATCGTCTCACTAGATGATGGTCTTGGAGGATTAGGAGGATTACCAGGATTAGGTTACGGAGGTATCGGCCTTGGTGGATTGGCATTAGCTTCTCCCAAAGTAATTGCTGCGCCTGCAATTGCTGTAAAGGTATTTTGAAAAATAAATCACAATGAAACGTGTTAAAATACAAAATTTAAGGCTGGAGCAACTTCGTATCAAAACAGCAACCTTCTGGCTCTCCATCCAACTCCTGTAATAACTAAAGCAGTAGCCGCTCCAATTCTCACCAAAGTGCATGCACCTGTCAGTGTAATTGGAGTCGATGGTATGGGAAAAATATTTAGTTGTTTCGTCGTATAAAACATTTTTTAATATTTCTAGGTCATTTAGGACTTGGTGGTCTTGGCGGTCTTGGAGGCCTCGGACTTGGAGGACTTGGATATGGTATTCACTAGTAGAGACTGATATTTTTAGGTGTAAATAGATGAGCAATTACTGTTAAAATATTTATTGAATGTTATAATAAACATGCTAAAGAAAATGTATTGTGTGTATTTTTGAAGCCAAAATGTTTGGAACAAAAAAAAGCGAAAACATTCAAAATTCCCTTCTTATTCCTTAGCGGGACGTAATCTGGATTTGTAGTTCTCTACCAGAAAAAGATCTGCTGAAAATCTCAGATTTCCAAGAAAAATAAATATTATTATTATTATTGTTTTGAAAAATTTTGTCACTTTTTCGAAAAGTCGTGTTACTTCTCCGAGATAGCGGGCTGTGCCAAGCTATTTCAGAGTCTACCGCTGGAATTATGGAATGATCTGACTATACCTATTACAAGTTTTTAGGATGACAGACTTTTAAATATTTGTGAGAATGTGTGAGTTGAGCCCGAGCTGCTTAAGATGCGAATCGAACATGTCAGGTGTAATGCCTATGGTGGATATGACGAATGGTATGACAGATACTTGTTTCCAGAGCCTCTGAACTTCTATGCCCAATTCTGGGTACTTTGATATTTTTTCGTTATATTTGTTTTGAATGTTGGAATCATTAGGTATGGCTATGTCTATAAGATAAGTGATCTGTTCTTTTTTATTTTTGAAAACTATGTCTGGTCTATTGCATGTTATTGTTTTATGCGTGCGTACTTCTACATCCCATTATAGTTTATATTCGTTGGTATCTATGATCGTGTTTGGGGCATATTTATAGTATGGTGCTTCTTCTGTAATTAGTTTGTAAGTTTTTGCAAGTGCCTGATGAATAATTCTTTCTGCCATGTTATGTCTCTCGGTGTAGGTACTCTGTACCCGCTAAGATTTTGCACCCACTGGTAACATGGTCTATGGTTTCTTTGAATTGATGACATTTTCTGCACGTATCGGTATGTATGTTAGAGTCTTTTATTATATACTTTTGGTAGTTAGGTGTGGCTATTACTTAAGCTTGAGTTGCAAGGAGAAATCCTTGCTTTCCATCTTGGAGCCATTTATATGAGAGTGGCTTTGATATATGTTTCTGCTCTATGATATATCTATGCTTTCCATGTAGCTGTTTTGATGTCCATGTATTAATTTTTTGTTCTATATATTGAATTGGGATAAAGGTATCCGACGGATGACTGGTTGTGGATAGATCGAGTAGCGTATAGTTCTTGTCTGCCTTGTACACCGCTTGCTGGAGAGATGTTTGTTCATCAAGAAAGTATTTTCGGAGTAGCTGTATTTGTTTTGTGTGTAATCATTGAATTTCTATCATATCCCTTCCTCCTTCTTTTCTGTTTATAGTTACTCTTTCTTTACAGCAATTAGGATGGTGCTTTCTATATTTAGTTAGCTCTGATCTAGTTAGGATGTGAAGATTTTCTAGGTCTGTCTGGCTCCATTTAATTATACCAAAGGAGTAGGTAAGTATTGGTACTTACTGCACATGTTTTGATAGCTTTAAAGAGGTTGCGAGAGTAGAGTGATGTCTTTAATATGGCTTGTAGTCTTTGTTTATATTGCTTCTTTAATTCCGTTTTTATATCTGTGTGGTTTATTTTATTCTGATGTTCTGTTCAAACCCAAGGTATTTGTATGTTTCGTTCTCTTCCATGTTTTCCAGTGTTTCATTATTTATGATTTCTCTGTTTTCACTGGCATTCCATTTGCCTTTTTCGATGTGTAGTGTTGTATAACGTACCCGGGTTGGTTCGGTAAGATTGAACGATGAGAATTTTTATTACCTTTAAACAACAAATCTTCTGAAAAACGAAATGAAGCAAAAATAGGAACTACGTTGTGGAAACTTACTCAATTTTACTTACTGGACATGCGCCCGACATAGCAAATATTTGGGAAATTTAATAGGGAAGTTGTGAGATGTAAAAGAAACGAAAAATTTGTGAAACGTCTATTTTATTATTAAAGTAAATCGTACCGTTCTCATCCTGGAACTAACGAGAGGAAACAGACCGGCAGAGAAACCCTCGATCTAACATTCCTTAAAAATCGAAACATACTGTGTCAATTTAATAATAATTGTGAGTCATTAATTCAATAATTTAAGTTAATAAAAGTTTAAATTAGGTACCGTCTTTGGTCTTTGTGCTAAAATTTTAATTACACACTCAATATTCAATCAAAACTACCTATATTCAATACTGAAGAGTTTTGTTGTTAGTTAGTCAGTTTCCTAGCGGATACTGAGGTCCCTCACGGGAAGCTACTCAGCTATAGTTGTTTTTGAGCCAATATCTCTAGATTGATTATTTCAATATTCTCTCGTCAGGGTAGGAAAATGTTAGTAAATTCAACAAGACTCTAATGCACGCTCTAAATCCACAAAATCGAAATCTCAGCACAAAAAGACAGCACAAAATTTCTTAGGTTTTAATTTACTTCTTTATCTCACAGTATGAAACGATTTTTGTTAAATACATGAACAATGCACATGTTATAAAAAAAATCGTTATAAACAAACAAAAAAAACATAAAAATACCTTCGTTTTCTGTGGCGCCCTCGTTCAATCCTAAACTTGAGGGCGCATACATGGTTGCAACATTTATTTTTATTCAGTAAACGTTTTTTTTTAAAGTTAAGACTTGAAGAAATAATATTTTAAATAGGTGGTTTTCCTCAGTAGTGCTTTACATTTACTTATACCGAATTCCATTCGTATGTCTTTTGTAAAGTTTTCTGTAATTTGAAGTAGCTCTTCAAGTTCTGTTCTTGTTGATGCGTAGATTTTAATATCGTCCACATACAAAAGGCGATTTATTTTATGTTGTACTTTTTTTTGAAGTTTTATATTGAACCCATATTTAGAATCATTTAGTGCAATTTAGAGTGGATTTAGGCACATGCAGAACCATAAGGCGCTTAACCCGTCACCCTGGAAAATGCCGCGCCGTATATATAGTTCATCGGTTTGGATGTATTCTGATTCTGATCTTATGGTAATTTTTGTTCTCCAAGATTTCATTATTTCCTTCAAGAAGTGTCTAATATTTGGATCGATTTTATAAATTTCTAGAATTTTTCAAAGCCAGCTATGAGGTACAGAGTCGAAAGCCTTTTTATAATCTATATATGAGGTGTGGAGATTCCTGCGATCTTTTTCAGTCTGCTTTAGGATGATTGTGTCTATAATTAATTGTTCTTTACAGGCTTAACTAGATTTTCTGCAACCTTTTTGTTCTTCTGAGAGTATATTATGTTTTGTTAGGTGAGTGTCTATTTTTTGCATATTGTGGTTGTTATTATTTTATATTGTGTGGGTAGGCATGTTATTGGTCTATAGTTAGCTGGATTCTTTGTGTTTGCGTTTTTTGGTTTAACATATGTATTACCTTGTGTCAGAAATTTAGGAAATATGTATGGGTCACGGATGCAATTGTTTATTTCCCTTGTAAGTATTTCATAAGTGGATGAGAACTGTTTGTACCAGAAATTTTGTATCTTATCCGCTCCTGGGTATTTCCAGTTTTGTGTATGTTTGATGGTCTCTGAAAGTTCTTCTTGTGTGATGTGATGATCCGTTTGTACTTGTATCTTGTATGTTATCGTGTCTTTACGTTTCTATTCTAATCCAATTTTCACTGTTATTATGTTGTAATGGTTTTGACCAGATATTTGACCAGAATTCTGTGAGTTCCTGTTTAGAGGGTATTTTAGCTGTAGGAACGCTTTCTTGTGATAGCAGAATTTTATAAAATTTCTTTTCGTTTTGGTTAAAGGCAAGATTTGTATCTTTTATTTCATTTGATTCCTTATATCTGCGTAATCTACCAGCGTAAACGGCAAGCTTTTTTTTCATGGTATCAAGGATCTCAAGCTCAGACTTTGTGTTATTGTTTTTCAGAATTTTTTTGATCGTTATTTTTATCTTTTTAGATTTGTTGCCGTTCAGATATTGCGTCATATGTCCTTTGTCCTTTCTTAAGTTCTCTATTTTACGCTCTATTCTGATTTGCCAGTTCGGTTTTTTATGTTTTATTTTTATCTTTCCTATTTGCTGTGTGATTTTTTGGCCGTTGTGTTTAATTATTGTGACTGCTGCTGTGTATAAAATTATGTAAATGTCTTCTAATGTGCTCTTGTGTGTTAGGTACTTATGGATTAAATTGTTTGTTGTGCTGATTATTTTTGATGTATTTGGTTTTGGGATGGGATTTCTTAAATTTGGGTTAGTTCCTTGCCAGTAAGACAGATTCGTTTCCATTTCTTGCGCTAACTGCTGTTCGTCTATTATTTGTTGCATGAGCAATGCACTTGGTTGTGTGATTTCTTGCTCTACGTTCAGCTTCAGTGTTTTATCCGGTACAGATTATAGGGATGTATATATGTCTTCGTTATGTTTTTCCATATCTTTCCTGTTGGTTTGATGTATATCCGATTTCTCACTATTATTGTTCAGCTCCTGTGCAACTTCTAATTTTATCTCTTCTAATTCTTTGCCCGTGAGTCTATTGTTCTTCAAAATTACTCTTTTTTGGTCTATGAGTCGTTGTTCTGTTACTGTTTTAGAGTGCGTGGAGTTCAAGTCTGTATCCTGTTATTGAACAGTTTCCAGTTTAGTTGCTTTGTAGTAGCAACGCATGACAGTTCGATTCATTTGGTCACTCCACGTCATCCGTTGCCGTTTACTACCAGCCTTTGTGGTTGCTAGAAATCCAGGCAAAGCACGTTGGGCTGGGGCACCATTAATATCTTGGACTGATCCGTTGATGCGTGTATCGTTATCACTATCACTTTCTGTTGTTATAAGTTCAAAGTGTCCTGCTGACGGATTGCCAATTAGAAGCAGATGTATTGTTGCAGCATGTTTTGATTTACTGATAACTGTTGGTTTGGTTTTTATGATTATTTTCTTTGCTTTAGACTGGATGGTGTTTCCATGGTGCTGGGTAGAGTTATCTTTCGGATTATAGTCGGCTGTAGGTTCTTGAGGGACAGGAGCCCGCCTGTTCAGCTTCCTGCCGCCGACGTCCGGCATACTGTCGAGTTCAGCATCGGCTTCAAACCCGCCCTGGCGATCCCCAGGCAGCGATTTTTTTCCGTGGCTTTTTTGTTTCTCCATTTTTATGGGTGTGTTGAGGAAAAGTGTAACTGTAATAACCTCAGGGGGACTTAGATGGATATCCGAAGTGGATATGGGTTTTGGCTTGGGATATTTTATATGGATGGGTGTAAAAAGGAGATAAAGATCTGAGGACGGCGGTCAGCCGGCGTCCCTGGCTGTACCGTCTACGCATTCGGTAGCAATAGATACACTGCTGGATACAGTACTTTATCGGCCAGACATTATTATTATTATTATCACTATTGTCATACTACACTGTCATTTTCTTTGACAGTGCTTCCATTCACCAAAAACAAACCATGTTTCTTAGGTTAAATGGGTTTTCAATTTTAGCCTATTGTTCTTCTTATTATGTGAGCTGTCTCAAGCAGTGTAGTTTTTTGTATTATTGTTCCCTGGTATTCTTGCTAGCCATTCCTTAAGGTTTCTATTTATTATTCCCGTAGCACCAATCACGACTGGAATTATTGTTGTTCTAAGACCCCACATTCTTTGGGTTTCTATCTGCAAATCTCTATACTTTAGTAACTTTTCCGCTTCCTTTTCCTTGATAGTTCTGTCCGAGGGGATTGCTATATCTATTATTAAGCACCTTTTGTTTTCCTTGTCCTTTATAATTATGTCTGGCTTGTTGGCAGCTATTGCCGTTTGTACCTGAGAGTCCCAAATCACTGTTACGTTTTTTGTCAGTTCTACGTCTATGGGCTTGTGTTTGAACCATTTGTCTTCAACTTCTATGTTATAGTATTTGCAGATGTTATAATGAAGTGTTGAACATACTTTGTTGTGTCTTATTATGTATTTTTATTTCGCAAGTACTGGACATCCTGTTGTAATGTGTTTGATAGTCTCATCATATTCTTTGCATAATCTGCACTTAGGGTTTATTTTTTGTCGGTGTATTTTATTCTTAATATAGTTTGTTGATATTGCTTGGTCTTGTGCTGCTACAAATGCTACAATGATTGATTCTGTTTCTCCTTTTAGAGTTCCATTATGAAGCCATCTGAATGTCCTTTCTCTATCTACCTGTTCTGTGTTAGTTTCTCTCTTGTTCTGGTCATGCATATGCTTTTCTGTCCATTTTCCTTCCGTATCATTATTTATATTTTCTTTACATAGTTGCTTTAGCCTTTTCGCGTTTCCTGTTATTTCTCTGTTTATGCACTTATCTTGGCTTCCTTTTCCTAAATATTGCTCTGTCCATTTTTTCCCCTGTTTTAAAAGTGACTTTCCTGTTTTGTCTTTTTCGTATTGTTTTAACATGTCGATGAATCTGTCATCTACTTTCCCACTTACGTAACTTGCCAAGCCAATGATGGTTAATTTGAACGTTTTCTCAATATTTACTAATCTCTTGCCTCCGTTGGCTCTTGGGACATAGGTATAAAGACTTTGATATAATCTATCAATCTGTGCTTTTGGATGGTGTAGATTGTACATTCTCAGAAGTTTTCGTGTTTTTGTATCGGCTTTCCTCAGTTCTTCTTCCTTCCAATTCAAGATTCCAGAACTGTAAGTCATTACGGGTAGTGCAAGTGCTGCTATGTTGAGAAATGTATTTTTACCAGTCAGTTGACTTCTAAGGATCTTCCGCACTCTAGAGTAATATTCCCCTGTCACTTTTGGTTTCATGCTTTGATGGTCAATTTCTGTGTTTTCATGTATACCCAAATACTTATAATACTGTTTTCCCTCTATGTCTCTTATTTCAGTTTCTTCGTCTATATTCATGTTTTGAATTTTTTTCATGTTTCCTTTTTCTATAGTGACTTTCGCGCACTTGTCTAAGCCAAAATTCATTCCATTGTCCTTGCTGAAAATGTTTACAGTTTTGAAAAGCTCTTCCAGTTCCTTGTCATCTCGTGAGTACAGTTTTAAATCATCAACATAGAATAAATGGCTTATGGGCGGTTTTCGTTTTTGTATTTTATGCCCTTTCTTGGTTCCATTGAGTTTATTTGACAACGGAAACAGAGCCATACAGAACGAAAGGGGCGATAATGAATCTCCCTAAAAAATTCCACTTTTTATGTTTGTAGTTCCTGCTTCTATATTTTTTCCTTGAAAAGTAAGTGTGAGAAGTGTTTTCCACTTTTCCATTGCTGCTTTTACCATATTTTTTATTTGGGGATTTACTTTGTAGATGGAAAGTGTTCCTAACAGCCATGAGTGCGGTACACTGTCAAATGCTTTTTGATACTGTGGCTAGGAAAGCAAAGAAACCCAGTTCAAGTTTAGTGCCTGCAGGCAAAGAACTTGGGTTGGTTTTCTTTGCTTGCCTAGCCACACTGATGAGATTTGATAGATCGAAACGCGTCTGTGGATGGAAAAGCGAAGAAAATTAACCCAAAATTTTCACATCAGTGTATAATAGGAGAAAACTAGTTTTTCCTATTTTGGGTTTTCCCAATAAACTGATTTTTGGTAGGCCTATTAGACGGTCAGTACAGTTGGCCGCCTTCAGCATTTGCCATGGCCTCTCTGGATTTGACGATCTTTGGGGTCCCATTATGATATTTAATTTTGATATTTATCTCACCGTTTGCTGTTCTCTAATCAAGTTATCGTATAACCTTGCCTAAGTAGCCTCTATATGCTGTTTGGCCATATTTTAAATATTTGTCTGTTCCATTCAATGTACTCTATAAATATAATAAATATTTCTGACATGACATACCTATTACAGTAGGTACAGTTCCTTCTGACTTTCTAGAAATTGATCTTGTAGATAACCTTAGATATAAAAAAAATCATGTAAGTAAATACTTTAGTGTAGTATAACAAAATATCGCATGCCCCTTAAAACGTAGGTATATAAAATCCTCATTAAAAAACATACAACATCCATTAAGATTTTGTAGTGCATTGTCAAGAGAAGAATTCGGAGGAAAATGTTAAAGTTTCTAAGTTTAGTCAGTGCTCTAGTTGTAGTTGAAAGCAGCTATTTAGGTAAAAAATTGTGATTTTGTTATCTCTAAACGGTTTTCAAACTGGATGACAATTCACCTATGACTTTTATTAATAATTGGAATTATTGATAATATGTAGGTATATTGACCATAGTTTTACATGATAGGTATCAACATTGTTATTTATTAAAAAAAAACAAACAAACTTTAACTCATATACTAAAAATTACCTATGGTAAATGGATGACATTGAAAGCTTTAGATACCTAAATAAAATACCTAAGCTCATTTCCTGTAGCCAAAAACTGAGAGACAATTCAAATTTAAAATACCTACCTAAAAAATCTTAATTATGATAACTCAAAGTTGAATATCATTTGTGGTTATTCAGGTAACGTCGGACTAGGCACTTCATACACATCAGGATACGGTGTCGGTCTAAACAATGGAGCAGCTTATGGAATTGGAAACGGCAAGGATTTAATCTTTGGAAAATTTCATTGACTTATCTGTGCTTATTTTTAGCTGGACTCAACTCTTATGGATCAATTTCCAGTGGGTCTAATAATTTGGGAGGAGCGGGCATAGCAGGAAATGGTATAGATGGAGTAAAAAAAAACCTTATTTCAATAAAATTAGAATTTTCTTCTAGCTGTAGTGAGTGTATCAACAATCCCTGCAGGACACGCCCAAGCAATACCAACAGCTTTCAGTACTCAGTCCAGATTTGATATTATCCATCCTGGATCTTTAATACAACAAGTACCAGATTTCGAAAACATTGTAAATGAAATTGACTATAATTTTTTTTAGACTGTCTCCCAAGTGCCTGTCGTTTCGACCCAAATTAGACCTGTGGCAGTCGCTGTAGACCATGGACATGGAGCCCATCACTGAATGATAATGAACTCATTATTGTGATATAAGACAAATATACAGGGTAGTTATAAGGGCACTCAAACTGTAGGCTTTTTTCTTCAACTCTTAATATATTTTTGCAATTTGATTATTGCTCTTATTTCCTACCATTTTTCTAATAAATCAAAAACAAGCAAATAAAACCATTATATTAAAAGAACAAGAAAACAAAAACAATTAAGTTGCTCATCCATACATAAAAAAAAAACATCTCCATATATAAGTTAAGCCGGTTTAGTCACCACCTCCACCGCCTTCTTTGTGATGTTTTTCCTCATGATGAATTTTGATTTCGACCTTGACTGGATGGTAGGCTTTCAGGTTTTGGTTCTGGTAGGATTCGGCTTCTTTTGGAGCAGCTTCAACTTCCATCACGTTGACTGCCACCATAGCGATAACCATTACAAAAACGAACTGGAAAATGTATTGAAAATTTAAGAAAAACAGTGGTATAGAACAATGATTTAATGAGCCAATGACAAATGAAAACAGAGATTTATCCAGAAGTATATTAACAACCACATAAAAGATGGAAAGATACTTCAATCATGAGAAATAAATAGGCTTCAAAGTCTTCTTCGACTGAAAACCGAAACAATAAATTTGAAGATAACATTTGCAACAAACATTAGGTTTCAAATGCTGTCTACTTCACTTACCAATCTAAGCTTGAACATTTTGTGAAGATCTATTGAAGTTATTCAATTAATACCAAATCGATAAACTGATACAAACTTGTTCATTTTGGCTTTAATTTATAGTCAAAATTTGATCTCCCACTATAATTAATTAATTCTTCAAAAGCCATTGAAAGGCAAATAAGTGTTTTTTCTTTGATTATTATTAACTAATGAGAATGAGCAAATGCTAATGTCGATAATAAATAAATAAGACAGTAGCGTTTCGTTTGGGTTACACCTGTATTTAAATATGAAATCGGCATATTTTCAAAGGTAACGCGGCAATGAACTAATCAATATGAGCAATTTATAATTGTAAATTTAGTGACCAAATTATATGCTCTAATTACCTTTTAAGACATTTTGAAGGTTGTGCGAGCCTTCACAAGTTGTAAGTTTTGAATAAAACGATGTTTTTGTTCAAGAAGCTATATTATTTATTGTCCTTACAAACTACAAATCAGTCGTTATCAGGCATCATTGCACTGATACAAACAAAAATCTATTTACAATTTTTCTAAAAAAGCTTTATCCTAACAATGGAGCACCAGCATGATAAGGAAAACCTGCATAAGGTGCAAATCTAGGAAGGAAAGGATGAGCGGAAAGGAACGGAGCAGGAGCCAAAGGAGCTACAGGAACGGGAGCAAGAGCTCTTTGAACAATGGCCGGAGGACCTGGAAGGACTCCGGCAGCGTAGGGAGCGTCAAATACGTGGAGGTTTCTCGTGAAGGTGTTGACTTGTGCTGAAAAAGGGAGGACGCTTGGGGGCGCTACTTGCGTGTAACGTACTGCAGGTGCTAGAATGTGCGCTTGAGTTATGGTGACGAGAAGAGCTACTGCTACAATCTGGAAATAAACAAGTTGATCTGTTATAATAGGGAGTTGAAGGCAAAACATCAATATTATTATACTGAAGATTCACAAGAAAACTTTTTGAAACGGTACTAACGGCAAATATAAATATTACAATTGAGATTTCTTGAATTATTAATAAAAATTATTGAGGATTATTTTGTTCCTTACCTTTAGGAAAGCCATTTTGCTGAATAAAAAGAACCTAAAAGTTGATCAAAAGAAAGTTTTACGACTGATACGATCTAAAGCAAAAAAATCGGTTTTATACCTGGGAAAAGTAGTGGTACAATTTGCATGATACACACATGTGAAATTGTTGGTGTTGGGTCATGTTTCTTAAAAAGTCTAGTCCATAATACGTGACTGGGTTTCGATTATCGATTGCTTACCATCCTAGTTCCATGCAAGAAATGTTTGTTATGTCAGAGGAAAAGTTACTTTGTTGATGCCTTATTTGTCTTTTTTCTAGAAGATCTTACTGGAACTTGAAATGCATATTTTCATAATTCAATTAATGTGCTGCATGTTTCAAATTAGGAGAATTCAATAATTTCAACTTATTTCAGAATGGAAACTACATTTGGTCAACTAATTGAGAATAATTGAATTCACAAAGTTCCTCCGGGAATAAACTGAAATTTCAATCTCAGTTCAAAACCATAAGATTATATAGTTTCTCATCAAAAATAGATCACAATAAGCTAATAGGCGTGTCGCCAGGGTCACTGCAACATGCACTTGTGAAAGTAGAACAAGTGCAATACACTGGTTACATGTATTTAGATATACGATTCTTTGATATCGGTAACAACCAGTCTACAAAGAAATAATTTTTTTCAGCATACCTACACAACGAACAAAAAAAACTTATGAAATATTTGCTTTATCTGAAGGGTAGAAATAATTCTGGTTTCAGAGGCCAGAGCAGTTTCAATGATTAACGGAACAACCGGATTATATTTGTCACAACTTTTTCCTGTCGTGACGGGGTACGTAGCGTAGGGTCAGGAGGATAGAGACTCGCTTGGTATTTAGTTAAAGGCATATTGTAGAGTAAAGGTTATAATAGTAATTACCAAAGGATGGCCCTATGGTACATAGTGCCTCTTCTATAGGGGCACAGGGGAGCTAACTGAGAGACACAAAGCTACGTTAGGAGTGATTCTCTAAAGTAAAGGGCCGTCCAGAGGGGCTTACTTAAAAGAGGTAATTACACTGGATGACACGAAGGCTGAAGACACCCAGAAGAGCTTTCCCAAAAGAAGTAATTGCGCTGGGTGGAAACTTGAGGCCAGAGGAGCTTTCCCAAAAGAGGTAATTGAGCTGGTACAAGTCTGCCTATTCGTGTGTTCCCGACCACTATTTATATTCGTTTATCGCTGACTCGCCAATCAATTAGTCAGTCAATCGTATACAGTGACATATTTTCCTAAGTAGCTAGTAACGGACCCAAGCACTTCACAGTGGACCAGGGGACCACTGGAAGTACAAAACCCCTTACCTTAGCACTACCATGAAACTAGCAGCGGTACGGCAGAGCTCTGCAGAGATGGACCTTTTACCCTGTAGGCTGGCAGTAGCTATAAAACACACACCCATTCATAATGGTGAGAATCATAAAAATTAAAGCCTCGGACGAGCGTCGGTACGATCGGGTACGCGCTGAAATCTACAGCCCGGTCAGAAAGACGACAACCCTGCTACATCTCTGGATATTCCTAAGACTTTTACTTTATCTGATATTGTTGGAGATGGGAGCTGCCTATTTAGAGCTGTGAGCATGTACTTATACGGTCACCAAGAATGTCACGAACAGCTATGAAAAATCGCACTGGGATATATAAAAGAAAACTGGTCCGTACTCCAAGACCATGTTCTGATTGAAAATGATAGGATGAGAGATATCGAAATTTATTATGAGAATATGAAGAAAACAAATGTCTATGGCACTAGCCTTGAAATACTTCTCTTTCCGAAACTCTAAGCATTAACTTCCATATACACACCAGACCTAGAGCAACAGTAACCAGAATAATTACAGTCAAAAGCGAACCAACAACAATAAGTAAAATACAGCATGATAAGAGCGTATACTTACCTCTGACAGGCAACCCAGCATCGGGACACTTTGAGCTCTTCATTCACTCCAATATCATGTAGGGATCCAAACCCGACTAAGGATATTTTGCAGTAACTATTTGCAACCACCAAGGCCGGCAAACAAAGACAGCGCTTACAATGGACAGATGAAATGAATAAAACAGTAATGTGTTGTTACTAACTACACTGCTACAAAACTCGAAACAATAAAATCGGGCTATAGGCATGAATTACGCATAGACTTTTTCTAGCTGAATTTCCATATCTTCAACAACTTGTCACGGAACAGAGAGTAATAGACCAAAAAAGAACCATCACCGAGATTAATCGCCTCACGTCAACTGAACTACAATATATCAAGGATTCAGTAGTCGCCGAACTGAACACAGACCAGTATCACATAGGATTAACTAACGTATATCCTGAACACACCGAGCATACTGAACAATGTCAACAGAAAGATGAAGCACCAATTCAACCACTTTCCAATGAGAACCTGAACTCAGAGACTCTCAACCCCCCTACACAAGAAGGGAAAACCTAGCACACAGAGTCTCCAGTCAACCAATTTACAAGCCTAACCACACCCACACAACATATTCCCGAATCACCTCTTCTACAAAAACCTAAAACCGAAATGGTGATACGCCTAAGTCAATGGTCAGGCTCTGACCCTACCATGAGAAAACCAATTCCTCCGATAGTCTTCAAGCAGAACACACAACAAATTCTTGATACAATCAACAAAGATGTAATACCACAGTACATACCCAAGTAACAATCCGACGTTATTTCACGTAATATTACGTTAAAAATGTTCTACCTGACGTCGGCATGCGACGTCCGTAGGACTTCCTGATGACCAAAATTCGACCAAAACTATACACCCCTCAACCTATCCCAAACAATACATCCAATAGACATATACAACGATACGCAATTGCAACAGGGGAAAATGAGCACCTGGTCAGAAAAGATTCAGCATGGACAGCACAGTTACCACCTGAAACAAGATTATATTGATCAAAAATCATCATACACAAAACGGAAGGATTCCTGCTCGCGATCCAAAAGGTCATAGCAACCAGAAATTATCAGAAATATAGGTATTATCAAAGATTCGGCTACAGCAGATGATACATGCAGGAAATGCCACCTCTAAAAGGAAACAATTGAGAATATTACAAGTGGTTGCAAGTCCCTAGCTGGCTCAGAATACACAGCAAGACACAAGACAAGCACAGCAGCAAAAGTAATTCACCAAGAACTGGCCACAGCATTCAAACTAATAGAAAACACAGAGCCAAACTACAAATACACACTATCGTCTATACTCGAAAGCAAGGATTTCAAACCATACTGGGATATCGATATTCAGATAGATAAAACAATATCCGCCAATAGACCAGATATCACCTTTCAGTTAAAAAGGGAAAAAATCACATACCTAATTGACATAGCTATCCCCAGTGATAAAAACATCCAGACAAAGTACAATGGAAAAATCTGTAAATACACAGACCTAGCAATCGAAATGAAGAGAATCTGGAAGCAGGAAAAAGTTACTATTATCCCCCTTATTATGTCAGTAACAGGCCTCACACCCAAAACATTCAAATCACACCTGAAACAGCTAGGACTCAAAACTTACATACACAAGAACTTTCAGAAATCAGTCATCTTAAAAACATGCCATATATTGTCAATCATTCTTCAATTCGATTTAATAATAATAGTATTTGCAGTGACTTGGCATAGCCCGTCACAGAAACATGAAACCACAATTAACTGTGAGAAAATTTCAATAATAATATTAATAATAATTAATGCTAACTCGTCGACACACTTTGATAAAAATCATATACAGTGTCATATTTTTCCTAAGTAGCTTTGCTTGTGGACAATATGAAAAAGTTTTCTACTACAATTCTTCTCCTTGATAGTTGAAGATCAAATTGTCAACATTGTAAAGCCATTTGGGCTTCATCAATTCCATCAATTCATGAAAAATAATCCAATACAGGCCAAATAAATTACTATTCTAAAGGCACCTGCTAATGAAAGTGATCTATTGACGACACGTTTTGATGGCCAGCACGCAAAGTTAAACAATGTTCCTAATTCCTACTGAAACAATTATTGCATTATCATTTTCAATATCGATGATTATATAACTCGATTGCAATCCAATTTCTTATAGGGCACAAAAATGGGGGCTCACTTGGTATAAATTTGCTTAAACTGACTGCGATAAGCATAGTGTAAGTTTACATATCACCAAGCAAAATGGCATCAAATATTATCGTAAGTAACTTGATCAATGTACCTAATCCATATTTATTCGAAAATTTAATTTTAGTTCTCTTTCATCCTGGCTACCCTCACAGTCTCTGGTTGTCTCGGAGGCCTTATCCCGGCAGTCCCTGCAGCCTACTCCATCCCCTATGCTTCGTCTTACACAGCCAACGTAGTCAATCATGCTGTAGCGACACCTCTTCTAGCTCCAGCACCTATAGCATTAGCGGCACCAGTAGCTTACAGCACAGCATTGTGGTAGAGATTTTACAGGGTTGTTGATAATTTTACTGAGCCAATATTTAAAATATAATTCATTGTTTATTGTTACTTATTTGTATAATTCAAACAATGGCCATCATTAGACAGGAAAAACGCTATTTACAATTAACCAAAACAAATTCTCATAAACCGGAACTATACGTTTTATCAAAATCAAACAAAAACCCACAAGCAAATCAATTTTGTTTTAGTACATATCAAATCAAATCAAAAATGTTAAGTTTATGTGTGTTTTACATGTTGATCGGCTACTCTTTGGGTCAGCCGGTTTCAGACAAGTTTTTAGAAGCTTTGGAACCAGCTGCAGAATTTTCGTCGTCAGTGCAAAAAACTTACCAGCAAAACATAAATGTTAGAAAACCAAGTCCTATTGGTCAACCTCTCTACCAACAGCCTCAAGTGTTAGCAACTGCACCACCTGAAGAAGAAAGTCACCATTTGTACAAGGAGGAATCAGAAAATTTGTCCAAGACTCCTTTAGTAGGACAATCTGGTGTAATTAGCCTGTTGCACAAGGACAATACTGAAAAGTTTCTAAGGAAAAGTAGCGTGAACAAATCTGTGATTAGCGGTGGTATTATTGGACCCCTTTACTCGGTATATTAATAATTTTATAAAAATATTCACAATAAATGAAACAAATTTATTTAATCTAGATTAGTTAATAAATCTCCTTCGTCAATTTTTCTAGGACTATCGTTTAAACACAACGTTGACAATAGAGTCAAATTATCCATTTCATCATAATTAGGCTCAGTGGTTGTAGTCTCTGGCAAATCTGGCAATAATGGTGTAAAATCATTACTATCATCAGCAACTTCTTTATCGTTAATTGTATACAATGAATCCGTGATTTCTTCGGCTTGATCTATTTCATGATCATCATCATCTTCATTGAACATCTTCAAATAAAATAATCATCATTTGAGAAAATAAAATTATTAAAAATAATCTTACAGGTACCACTGGTGTAGTGCTTTTATATTGGAAAGCACTATTCGATAAGTCTACTTCTACAGGAAATAATGCAGGTCCTGCTAAGGCTTCCAGATGACGCTGGTGCATCTCACTTAGAGCTTTTATAATGCGCACCAGTTGACCACCTAGTTGCTGGACGTGTTTGTTATCCAGGAGCTCCATTTTTATGAGCACATCAGCTCTGAGCTTTGCGAAACGAGTTCTGGCTAGTTGACGACATCGCAGGATCAATCTGTAATGAAGATTAATGTTCTAAAAGTTATTTTATTATGCAACTAAATGACCTGTATTCATAATTTCCAGTTTCAACTCTGTATATTGGTTCCTGTAAGGCAGCATATCCGCATTCTTCATCGTCCATTTCTTTGACTTTCAAGCAATAAGCCAAATATTCAAATTTAGCATCTGCATATTTTTTTACTGTTAATCTGGTGTCTGGAATGGCCTTATGAAGGTACGTACCCATGTCAGACAGCACCTAAAATTGCCGTTGAAACAATTTACATTGTTTTTTTTTTAAATGTGGGGCTCACAGGTTTAACTTTCTGGATCATATCAAGTCCAGCCTTTTCCATGTTTCGGTGTTGCTCTCCGAATAGCCGGAAAGCTTCGCTGGCTCTGGGCTGTGGTTCTCTAACGGCTAAAGAAGCGAAAACATCACCCATGGCTTTGATTGTTTGTAAAAGTTCCATATTTGCGTGCAAGACTCTTTTGCAATGATCCACGAGCCCTTTATACATAAATTCAGTGTCCTGCAGCTCTTGCATTTTTTTTACTAAAGTGTCGTTGCATAAAATTGCTCTAGAATATCAAAATTTATTCATGGGTTATTATTGGGTGAATGGCATACCTGGACAGCCCCAAAGCGTCTGCTGTAGATGAGCTCATGTTTTCAACTAATCTGTGCTTCATTTTCTTCAATACAATGTCCAGGCTTTTGCCTTGTTGTGGATCAGCGTGCAGTTTATTATAATGAATGATTACTTCATCCTAAAAGTTGAAACCTTGTAAAAAAGAATGAGAGTTTGATGTTTATACCTTTGCTGCTTGAATCATCTTGGCTACTTCAACTTTCGTCTTATTTTTGACCGATTGTCCATTAACAGACACAAGTTCGTCTCCGGATTGTAGAGTACCATCTCTGCTAGCTGCAGTGTTGTCAAATATCTGGACTATATAGAGGCAGGGGCAAAGTGGGGCTCCGCCTCCTATGCTGATGCCTATGAGGTTGTTTTCATCTTTTTTGATGGTGACACTGCCTGAGGTCACTGTCATGCCCCTAAAAAAAATGTTACATTATTTAGGAGCAAAAATAGATTATTATTTGAAAAACTACTGAGCTAAATTTGGTCGGAAAACAATAAAAACTGATGGTTGTCGTTTGGAAATATTTATTTGAATTGTTTCTAGCACCTGTAAAATCTACAATAATAATGAACAAAACTGTTAGCATGATCTACGGAAGTAACATAGATGGCTTACAAAGTGTTCTCTCTGTAATAAGTCGATGTTTCGAAGCCTTCAAAGGCTGCTTCTTCGGAGATTTGTTGAACTAGGATGGGTACATCTGGTGTATTACTAAAAAAATTAATGTAGTTTAAACCTTATTGACCTAAAATGATAAAGATATTAGTAATTGTGCCGTATACGGTTTCTTGCCATTATTAATGATTTATTGTGAACTTTGTCATAAAATCTCAGTGGGTATGTCAAACTTAAGTACTCAGATAGCACAAGTGCCATTCTAGCAACGTATTGGGGATATCTGGGTCAGACATTTAGTAAGTCCCGAGTATGTCTTTTAAAAGTCCTTGATTTTCCCTGAGACATACCTAGGATATATTTTGTTACAAAACCTCTCATACCGAGTACTTCCTGGAAACAAGTACCATGGACATTACAGGAGGTAATCCTGAGGATGTGTGAAACAAAATTCCTACGAACGTTCAAAGAGAACTCCTAGGGATGTTGAGAAAACAACATTCAAGGAGGTCTAGAAAGAACATACATGTGACATTTAAAAGATAATTCACAAGGAAAAAAGAAGAACTTCTAGGGATATACAAATATGAATTTCCAGGAACGTTTGGATTGACATCGGATTTAAAACGAAAGTCCTCAGGTTGTCATAAATGTAAATATCTAGACTAGTCATTTGCGGACGTCCTGCGAAAGTTCCGAAACGCTCAGAATTTCGGTTTGGAACAGTAAGACTTTATATGGAATCTCCTGTACTATCTGGGCTAAAGCCGGTTATAATCCAAATTTGAACTATTAACGGCTCTTGATTTTCTGGAAAAATTACCGAGGAAGTCAAGAGCCGATATAATTAAACAAAATTTGAACTTTCACTGGCTCTTGATTATCTAGAAAAACTACCCAGCAACTCAAGAGCCGGTTATAGTCAAAAATTAAACTATTATCGGATCTTGATTGTCTAGAAAAATTACTGATCGACTCAAGAGCCGGTATTAATCAAAATTTGACCCATAACCGGCTCTTGATTGTCTAGAAAAATTACCGAGGGACCCGAGAGCCGGTAATAATCAAAATTTGGGTTTGAAAGTGAAATTGGGAGCTCTAGAAAATATCTAGCTAATCAAGAGCCGGTAATAGTCAAAATTTGAAGTACTACTGGCTCTTGATTCTCTAGAAAAATTATCGAGCTACTCAAGAACCGGTAATACACAAAATTTGAACTATTACAAGCTCTTCATTATCTAGAAAAATTACGGAGCGACTCACTCAGATAGTACAAGTGCATACTAGCAACGTCTTAGGAATATCCGAGTCGAACATTTAGTAGGTCCCGAGTATGTCTTTTAAAAATCCTTGATCTTGCCTGGGACATACCTAGAATATTACAAAACCTCTCATACTGACTACCTCCTGGAAAGAAGTCCCATGAACGTTACAGGAGGAAATCCTATGGTTCTGTAAACAAAACTCCTATGAACGTTCAAAGGGAACTCCTACGAATATTAAGAATAGAACATTCAAGGAGGACCAAAAAGAACATATGTGACATTTAAAGGGGAATTTTCAGGGACGTCCAAGAAAAACTCCTAGGGATATTCAAATAAGAACTCCCAAGGACGTAAGAAGTATGGATGGACACGGGATTTAAAGAGAAAGTCCTCAGGAAGTCACGAAAGGTTTATTCCTAGAGTAGTCGTTTGCGGACGTCTTGCGAAAGTTCTGAAACGCTCAGACCTGGATGATGGGCTCTGAAACATTTCTAGATTAGCCATTTATGGACGTTCTCAGGATCTCGGTTTTTAGTTTGGGACGTTAAGACTTTCATGGGATCTAAAACGGACGTCCTGGAGATGACTTATGCTATCTGGGTAAGTATGGATGAATTAAACGAGAATCGCCGGCTAGTCGTTCATCAGTGGAGAGTTATCTAGTTTAGCTATCGGTTAACCAATGATAATTTATCAGTTGACCAACAGCTAAACTAAATAACCCTCCACTGATAAACCGGTCCTAAGTCTTTGGTATATAGCCAAAGGCTAGGCTACTTCTTAGAATGTTGCAGAGTATTCTGTGTGCTAGTTCAGTTTCGTTCTGTAACATATGGGATAGATCCCATCTGTCCTTGCTGACTTGCACGGATCAAAGGTGTTATAGCCCATTTGACTTTCTCATAGTTGACTACTTTCTTCGAGGTCAGTCAGTCGTTCCTTCACACTCTTCGAAGCCTAAGGGCTCATTCCATGTCCACTGAGTCTGATCAACTATCTTTGAGCCGGGAAAGTGGGTTCTTAGGAGTCCCCTAGCTAGAGTACTGGTGTTTTCACAAAGGCCGTTCTTGAATGAACTGATTCTTGTCTTTTGAGCCCTTGAGAGAGTTTGTTGTAGTCTAGCAGATTCTGGAGTACCTACTTTCTATATCCTTGCAGTACTTCCTCCAAGACCTCTTGGATCTTCTCAGCTCTTTCTTCAATATAGGCTTAGAGTAACAAAATTATATTTGAGATGATTATTCAAACTTGTTTTAAGATAAACTTTCACGCTGTTGATGGTGTAATAAAAATAAAATTATTAGCAGAAAACCGTAAATAGCATGTTGTTACCGAGTTATACTTACAGCTGAAGGAAATCCATTTCAGGTCCCACCATTTTTTCTAGTGGTACTGAGTTATCTTCCATTTGAATCACTTCCTTATAATTTTCAGTACTTTATTGTATTCACTACCTTCTAAAATTATAATGGTAGTTGATGGTAGTTGGTACTTATAGGAACTAACGCGTTTTCAAATTTAAAAGTATGTACCTACCTACCTACCTACTTATAATAAAAAAAATTCTAGTACCTACCTATTTTATTTATACTTAATGTAATGAAGTATGGAATTTTAAATCAATAATAAATACCTACATTCAAAATTGTATCTACCACGAAAGTACTAAAAGTAGAAAACTACCTACATAAAAAACAACACATTTCACTACTGAAATAAATTGAATAGGTAACTTCATTCATTATTTTCTTTTTTGAAAAGTACCTATATTGTTTAAATCATTGAAAATAGTAGTATAGGTATAAGTTCAATACTCCGCCAGAGTATAAGGATAAGTCTCCACTGGAGTAGGTATCAGATTTATACGCCGCTTACGTTAAAACTTATGAAAATCACATACACACAAGTAACCGTTTATGTGAAGTTTGAAACCAAAAAAACAAGCTACAAAAATTATACATTACATTTTATCCTCAAAGTTGTAGTGTATGGGATATCTGGGATACATCAGATGATATTGGTAAAGCGGATAAGCCATGATTCTCAAAGAAGTAAGCACTAACAAAAAAAGCTAAATGAAAAACCCTTTGCAGGTTTTTAGAAGCAAAAACCTGAAAATTGCAAAAGCTTTGACATACATCATGCATATTTCATTAACAAAAACAGATAAGAAGCGACAGGAAACAACTCAAATATGCGGGTACTTTGTTTATCGGCTAATACAGAGTGTCTCCATAATAATACCAAACTAGCAATAATTTCCGAAAATATTGCACAAATAGCTGAAGAAGACTATTACCTATTAAAATAATTTGTGAAAATTCAATAAAGTACTTTTTATATGAAGTAGCGGTACCTATATGATCATTGGTAATTATAAAATACCAATAAAACAAAATAGATAGCTAAGACCATCCAAATTTATAAATAACTTGGCTAATGGAGTAGGACATAAAAATCATGCAGTATACTAAAGTGATAATTTCAGCTAATGTTCAGGAATAATGAAAAATTCCTACAAACAATGAACTTTTCAATTGCCATACTCCACAATAAGCAATTAAATTATTATCCATTAATCCACATCTGCCCTATATTATCATGCATAGAACGATAACAAACAAATCAATACTATATCCATGCAGGCACCCCTCATTCGCCGCTACTCACATTTTGTCTTCCTCTAAAAAGTAATCATACTCTAAGTCCAGCATGCCTCCTCACTACTGATCCTATAGCCTATGGAATACCTATTTTTCTGTTCAAAATACTAGCTATTTAATGCTGTTTTTAAGTCAAAGACTTACTACTTTATTTGGAAAATGTCAACACTATTGGAAAACTGACAGAGGGAAACTCTGTATAGGTAGGGCGTCGCGACGCTGCTGCATTGCCAGACTGTCAAAATTGTAGCAAGTATATATGATATTCTAACAAAATAATTTTATTAATAAATTTACAATTACAATACAGTAGAAGTTTCAGTGGTTATTGTTTCTTCATTTTGATGCTCAGTGGTACTTTGTATCTCTTCAGCTTCATTTATTTGTAATTTTTCATTCGTTTCTAAAGGTTTGATGGGACTTTTTTCACTTACAATCTCGTTGTTGTCTTCTTTCACCTTTTTTACCTCGACATTTTCTTGTGTTTTCGGAAAATAAATCACTGGTAACGCCACGATTATGTGATGATAATATGGAAATGATAAAATTTGAAGCCCATTTGAGGTGAATGGTTGCACAAGATTTTGTGAAATTGCAGGAAATATGTCTCTCCTGTAGCTGTAGCTATAAGCAACAGGAGTTTTTGCACTTTCTCGGCTATGCACTATTCTATTTTCATTATAATGAAACATTCTAGCTAAGGAAAAATGCATGAGCATGCATAAAATTAAAATAGTTTTGAACATTTTTGTAGCACTATTTAAATGCAACTGATAATTTTTTTATGGTGCAAAAGACTTTTTATACTATGATATGGTGACAATTACTTTCATTCTAAAGTTATATCATCAGTAATTGTTACAGAAGAAATATTATTAAATTATTTTATCAGTGATGGATCTGGATTTTTATGCTCAAACGATTTTGATTGAAATTAGTTTAAATGATTTAGCAATATTCATTTGTAATATATCTTCTATATTGACATCCTTTTGTATGTTTTGTTATTTATAATGTAATACTACACCTGTGACATGAATGAATCAACTACCTACAATGTTGCTTTAATTAAAAGAATGCATATCGTCTCATTCAAGGATACTGTTACTGTTTATGTTTGATTAGTAATGTAATGTTCTACTCCTAACAAGATGCGATTTATTCTTTGGATAGGTAAGGAGTTTTCGCATTACAGTCGATGTTTCAGAGATACTCATAACTTTTTCAGAATTTAGAGGTCTTATTAAGATTCTAGAGACGCAGAAATATTTAAAGACTCAATAATGTCTTGAGGCTCATAATTTACTCTATGAACTTTGTAGACTCCAAAGTCTTATTATTGAAGATTCTAGTATGAAGACTATAAAGACTCTGTTGTTTTGAGATTAAAAAATCTACACATTAAAGACTCATAACTTCGAAGATACAAGAGACTTTGAATTGAACTACAGACACCAACATTTCTTAAGATTTAAAACGCTGTTGATTCTGAAGGCTTTGAAAATACCTCTTCTAATAGGATTCTAAAAAAAAGACGCAGGTAAAAATTTAAACAATTGAATGTCTTTCCCGGTTTTACCGGGATTGGCAGTTTTTACGTAAAATACGCACAAATAGGAATTACGACATATTTTTGAGCCACTCTATTTCAAAAATTATCAATTTTTGACATAGGGTATGTCAAAAGTTATTTAAAATTGTTCAGAGAGTCCAAAAAAAAGATAATATACAGGGTGTCCCATTTAAAATAACAAAATCAATGCCATATCCGGTGAAACCGGAAAAGACATTCAATTGTTTTTATATTAAAATTGTTCACAATTTTCAACCCTATCAACAAACCGAGTTGCATATTTCTATCTCGAGCCGTTAAGAAATACCGCCCTGGGTAGTAATTCCATTGTCACCCGGTATATGAAGGAAAATAGGAGCGTGTGTTTTGAAGAGAGATCAATGTCAATTCGTCAATTCACATAACAAAGTTGGAGAGACGACAAAATCAAATCTCGGCACGTTTTACATTGGTTGTGAATAGGAGAAGTTTCCTATTGGTCATCTAGAAATTTGGATTAAAAATTTGTGTCCGATTAAAGCTAAAATTTAATTTGCACCAAGTCTCTATATCATTCGAGTCTACAAATGCGTAAAACCGAGTACAACGCGAATACTCACCCTAACCTAAGATGAAAGATTCATTGTCTCAATATTGCCAATTATAGATTTTTTTTTTCAAGATGCATCAGCATAACCCCATCAAGTCAATAATGGTAAAACATATAAATAGTCTAGGAAACTTGGAAAAACCAGTAGTCTTATTCTGCAATTGTTTAAAAACAGCTTCAAGCATGTTGAAATTATTTTTATTTCTCTGTGCCATATGGGTTTGTTGTTTAGCAGCACCAGGTAAAAAAAATCTTCAATTTATTTTGAATTAATCATCAATGTTGAATTTCATCTATAGGCTTCTTACACTATCCAGCCCCCATAGTATATCACCATCCAGCTCCAGCAATCGTTCCAATTTACACTAAGACTATTGTAGCACATCCAGTACCTCTACACCCGGTACCTCTACATGGACTACATCCATGGTGGGGATAAATCTACAATACTACACTGTATAACCACTTTTATAATGGACGAAGCAATAATTTTAGGATTGTGAAGAGGCATTACAAAACTTGCAGATTGTATAAATAAATATATATATATTGTTTTTAAGTGAAATTTGAATTATTCTTCCATATTCCAGCAGTAGGTAATGAGCGGTATGAAAAAGAAAATCATAGCGCAATTTACCTTACTTTTTTTGATAAGTCATAATATTTTAATGAAAACCATCCAAATTTATAGCTAGATATTCCATCAAGTTTATTTTTCATCGATGGAATTAAAAATGGGGTCAATTTGGGGGGTCAAATTTAACATATCAAATGTGTACCGGGAATACAAGACTGATTCGCGAAAGGAGATTTGATAGATACCTAAACAAAGATAAATAATCGTTTATTTTCTGAGAAAAAATTATAATAGTTATTTTCCTAACAAGTGCGGAAAGACACTTTCCGCACTTGTGCGGGAAAAACAAAATCGCGCACTAGTGCGGGAAAGTGACATTTTCGGAACTTAGATGCGTGCGGGAAAGTAATAAAAAATGCACGCTCGTAGAAAAACATGTTTTATTTCTACATACTTTTGTTGGTAGCATCTCTATCTGTTGGTGGTACTTTAGCAAGCCCTGAAGATGATTTGCAATGCGTAGAGGAAATGTGGAATTTACTTCAGATTTATACAAGGTAGGTACACACTTATCTCGTTCGCCTTGAAAAAACTTTTGTTAAATTTATATTTATTTGTAGGAAATAGCAAAAACCAAATCAGCTCAAAACTTTGTCTACTCACCATTCACAGTACAAACACTATTAGCAATGCTGGCTTCAGCTGATAAAACTAGCAATACTCTGACGGTTAAGGAGATCAGAAGGGTGGCCCATTTGCCTCAGGACAATCCAAGCACAGAACAAGCATTTCAAAGCATAATTACCGATATGAACAAATCGACCAATGACGATTTCAAGATCTTTGATGTTACTAAATTTTATTTTGCCAGTGGTTATAATATGGAGCCATGGCTCAAGGATATCGCTGAGAGGACTTTCCAAGCCGAAACCGAAACTGTCAATTTTACAGACGTATGTAGGTATATTTTATTTGTAAGTAATTTTACATTGAGGTAGTTTTTGTAGCCTTCCAATACTGCCAGTGGAATTAATTTGTGGGTTGCCAAGAAAACGGATCAAAAAATTACTAATTTTTTTAAACAAGGTGATATTGCCAGAAATACAGACCTCGTTTTAATCAATGCGTTATTTGTGATGGGCAAATGGGAGTGCCCTTTTGAAAAAGAACAAAACGTTCGACGAACATTCTACGGACAGAATGGCAACAGCGACGTTGTAATGATGAACAATCTGCAATCTTTTGAGTAAGAAATTCGATAAATGAAGTACTACATAATATTATAATAATTTAGATATTCCGAAAACGCCAAAGCGAAATATTTGAAAATGGAATTGCGCAGAGACGGCGGTGGTGCGCAGGCCGTATTCATATTACCTCATGAAACTGACGGTCTAGCTAAGCTAGAAAAACAAGTTCAAGATTTATTGCAAACACCTTCATTTTATGCTGCCAAAGTTGATGTTACTCTACCTAAATTCACCATTAATGGAGATGTAAACCTAAATGCTGTATTAAAACGCGTAAGTACCTAATGCTATATTGTAAGTGTACCTATCTTTTAGGTATTTTTAGTTGGGATTGAATCAAATCTTCAAATATTGGGTCCAAGATCTAACAGGCTTTGGGTACCCAGGTCACCCTTTTTCAGTCATCACCAACTTGTTCCAAAAGTCGCACATAGAAGTAGATGAATGGGGCCTGACTGCTGCCTCGGTCGCTGCAGCTGTAAATTATGTAGATGATCCACCAGATACTAAAGTTTTCGTTGCCGATCATCCGTTCTTGTTTGAAGTTGTTGTCGACGATGTTGTAGTTTATGCTGAACGTGTAGTAAACTTATAATTGTGATTATTTTTGTTTAATAATATTGTTTAAACGATTGGAATATTTTATTTCTGTCTCCATTACCTATAGTGGTATTTCTTCTGCATTACTCATTCGGAGCATATTTATATGGCCATTTCCAAAATGTTTGCATATACAATGTGTTCAAGATAAGGAAGGCCAGTATGGGGATCTGATGATATGTGACCGAAAGACGAAACTTCGGATTACAAATTTGATAATGCCATATTGTAGAGGAGGAAAAGTGACAATGATAAAGTGCCATTTGCTTCAAATAAGGTCGGGAAAAAATAAAATCGTTTTGGGCGAATTTCAGGTTTTCCCAAGGTTCCTAAAGTTAATAGGTTGCCTGGTAATGGGTAACTTGATGACGCATCTGGGGTGCCTTATGGAGATTTGCATTATGAGGAGGCATCCCAGATGACGTCATAAAGTTATCAGACAACCTGCCTCTTTCAAGTAACTTTGGGTTTTCCCGGATATCTCCGATATCACTCGGAATTTTTAAAATATCAGAGCGGTATTTTAATGAGCACAAAATTGCGCAACTTTCTCCTAACTATAAAAGGTATGATAGTTAAATGCCTAGAAAAACATTAATATCATATGTTATTATGAATATAATAGTAAGTACTCTCAAACAGTTTCTCGAATCACCATCTGGGAAGAAAGTTTAGAACCGACTTACACTCACTTTGCTCAAGAAACAAATTAAAACCAAAATTTAATACTGAACAACATATTAATGTTATATGCAAATCAAGAATGAGATCAGCACTACACACAATGCAAACAAAAAACCACTCGCTCCATGATCTAAAAGACCAGTAATGATTCAACAGTCTGTAAGGAAGTGGGTCCTTGGTTCTTAATGAAGAGAAAAATCCCAGAGCTTACGTTGTCCAGTCTGAGGATGGTGGTATTTATAGAAGAAATAGATAATATCATCTTTGTCCAAGTCCAATACCAAATGTATTGTTGAATTCTCCCACTAGAACTGGTAAATCCAGTTTGGAATAATTTAATTTTTTCATGGCTTCCACAATTTTGTTTTTGTTTAGAGACAAAATTTTACCAATGTACCTATATACTTAATTTGTTGACAACAACGCTCAGCTTTAGTATCTCTCTAATAGATGGCAGGACTGTTTTTCTAGTTATTCTGCTCGTTAATATAGGGGGCACTTAGGTCAGATCATTATGTTTTGAGTGTACTGAATCTACAAACATTGCTACTCTCATTAATGAAAACTAAAAGAAAGGACTGACTCCGCACTTAATACGCCTCTTCAGGGACTGCCTCGCATATGGTCAAGTACCTACCACAAGTACCACATTCCTGGCGTAAGATTCAAGTGGTATTCAGGCCAGGACGCTATAGCTAATAAGAATGAACATCGAATGGAATCGGATAAATCTGGATTGTCCCCATAACAGAGCGCATATCTTGTTATATTTTTTTGTTATTCAGATATTTACTTTTAGTCTAGGAGGCAGTGACGATTTTCGATACTTATTTTCCCAGTCAGGCAACTTGGATAGAATTGTAGGGTTAGTAATTCTAAGCAAAATACATATATTTTTAGGGGGGTTTTCCGATGGGTTCAGGCGCAAAATGCATTAAAGCTTACGAATGCACGGCCCTTTTTTTTTCTTAGTGATAAAAATAGGTCTACTAATGAGAAGTATACTGAAGTTACGTAAAAAAATAGTCCGGCGAATGTGTGAGTATGAATAATATGTCTGGCAAGTGAAAAATTGAAGATTCGAAAATTTTCAGCCAGACTCACTTTCACTATCTAAGAGAAGCCAAATTGCTATTTTCATATACTTTATGTTCTATTGTAATAAATGTGAAATATTTATATCTGCGAAAATAAGCGTAGTTGTATTTTTCATTGATCTTGTGAACCCATCCGAAAATTTTAGCCAAACTCAAAAATTCTTGCTTTGTATCACCAGGAGAACAAACTATTTCATAGACACCAACTGGAAAAATAAGTGCTAAAAAATTTCACTGCCTCCTAGACTATTTCAAAATGTGCTAGTTTGTGAAGGGCCACTTTCTAATTGAGACTTTACATAATAAAAAAAACCTATATTTCCTAACTTTGTATATTATTATCTTTATTACAAAAACTATTTATTATTCATATCGCAGTATTGCCTACTTATACTAAAATCAGGTAAGTCGTTGCTTTTAATGATAGCTATAAGGCAAAGGAGCTGCCAACAGAGGACCTTTGACTATAGCCGGTGCGTGAGCATAAGATACGGGAGCTGCTTTGACTACTATTGGAACTGGAGCTGCAGAAATCTAAAATAATCTAATTAGCAACATTTGTTTCCAAAGAAAATTACTTACTTGTACAATATTTTGGTAAGATGTAGCTACAGGTACTACAGTCTTGATTATTGGGGCAGCTACAAGAGGTGCGTGGTAGCCTAATGGTTCTCCTAGGTAGCCTGCATAAGTAAGGCCCAAAAGTGAGGCAAAAAAAATTACCTGAAAAGAAAAACCAATCACTATTGTTTTGTATATTATAGCTTTGTTCCAACCGACATGAAAACCGTTCCAGAACCAGTAATTTCCAGCTGCCCACCTATTTTTCAATAAGTTCAACATTTATCCTACTTGCCAAATTAATTGATTGACTGAAAATTACTGTTCTAGAACAATTCTCATGTCGGTTGGAACAGAGCTAGAATAGAGGTTCTTACAGTTTTGATCATTGTATTGTATTCGTCAAAAAATCAAAACACAATAGAACTGTGTGGTAACGGCACTGTTCTTTTTATACCTCGCTGGAATGAGAAAAAAAAAACAGAATTGACCAAGATAGGAAAACGTCGACAGGTCAATGTCATGACGTAACCAATGAGTCGTAAAAGCGTTCTGCTTGCTTCACTTTTCTTGGACGATGAATTTTATTCCGCGTAGTGCCATAATGCACTTATTTGAACACTTAAGAGGACTACGACTATGACTGAAGTTAGGTATTAATGGTTTATAGAAATAAACTATGCCATTATGGCAAATTTTATATACAGTTTATTTAACTGAGAAGCTTTCAAATAATTGTACTTATTTAATAACTTTTTTATTTAAATACACGTTTGTGAACATTACCATAGGAATTGACAACCAGTATCCATTGAAGTGGTACCCTTAAGCTAACATTTCATCAGGAAAACCATGTGATGTGATGTAACAAAACAGTTACAATATAGATCTAGATTAACCGTAGATACTTTAAAATGCACATTTTTTTTTCTGTCATTAATCTGATTTTTAAGTCAGAATCAAGATCACGACTTTCGCTTTATTGCCTCGCTAACACACCATTTCAATATCACACTTTATGGGCATAAATAAGGATTCTCGTTAGTTAATTATCGGTAATTTAAGCTTGTAATTATGCCTGTAAAAGGTTTTTACCATGTAAAGACGATAAAAATCTTACAAATTATATCTACCGTTAAACGTGCGGAACAATAGAAGAAAATTATAATTAATAAACATATTTCGTGACCTTTGATTTTAACTAATGTTTTTCCTATAAGTACATGTAGATTTATCATAAAGCCCTTCACTTATATTCATTTACTTTATTGTAAGTTCGTGCTTGGACAAATATTACATTACATTTCAAATATGGTAGGTAGTCATTTTCTGTTGCATTTTTGGATAATGAAACACTGGTACGAACTTAGTGGCAACCACTGGTGGATTTCTGTTAATAATAACTCTAGCTACTTTTCTGGTAATCACCGGTACTGCATCTTCTCTTCTAGGTGTCACTGGTTGTTGAGAAAAAGCCGCTGCAGCAACTGACAACAATAGTGCAAAAACAAATAGAAAATTCATTGTTGACTTTCAATTAAACAATAAGCTTTGTCCATATTATGTATTTATACTCACAAAATCCAATCAATAACAATGATTTTGTATTTTTTACGGTTGATACTAAGTACTACAAAATGAAACAGCACTTTTTTTTTTGAAAAAAGTATATCTATATTTAATTGTAAAATAATAATTAAATTCTCTGTCTGACCACGTGATCGAAAACAATGCAAAGTTCGTACAAATGAGTGTAGATACGTTTTCTGGACGTATTCGGTCCTGGTTCGCTATCCGGATCTGGGTTAATGGTCTTCCGGTCGAAACGGTTTTGGAATAGCAATCCTTTATATGGATGCTGTAAGACTTTATAGTTAATCGAGTCGTTTGACACAACATCCCCAGATTTCCAATGGTAGAAGCCCAAATCAGTTTTTTTCGGCATAAGCAGCTGATGACCTAATACATAATCAGTTTAGAAAATTATTCAATAAAAGTAAATTTCTTGCCTCTAAAAATTGGTTTCCAATTCTCCTTATTCAATCTTTCAGTATAGTCAATGTATCCGGACACCTCTACGCCAGCTTTGGTATAAGTTCTGAGGAAAATGATCGTCGATAATATTCCGATTCTGTTGGCGCGTTCCCTTGAAGCTATTTCCTGGATAAACGGATCTCCCCTAGTAAAAGCAATGTTTTCACTGGACAACTCGTACGCCTTGTACGGTGGAAAAAGGTAGTTCTTAACAGCGTGTAGACGTTTTTCGAATTGTTCGCGGCTAAGAGTTTCACCAGAACTTCTATATCCTATAATTTATGAAAGGATATATAGACAGATTGCAAATAAGCTGAGTTTTGTTAAGTTTGTTAAGATGCTTCTTACCCAAATTAGCAATAAATCTAGATGTTTCTATGCTCTGCAAATAGCAATGATCCTGGATGGTACACAAAGAATCCAAATATTCCTCGTAGCTGTTGAACCTCAAAAGATTTTTGTCAGCCTCTATTTGAGGGGTGGCTTTCAAGAAAAATTGTGCCATTTTTTTTATTCTTTTGCTATGACCCAAACAACTCTCTAAAGAGAGCTACTTTTGTAAAAAAAAAATACATATAAGTTGACATTAAAGGAAATGACGTTTTAACTTCAAACACACCTATAGAGTCCTATAATGAAAAAACTGGTAATTTTTGAAAAATTATTTCACAGATTAGTTTATCATTTGAATGCTCTTTCAGGAATTTATTTGAATATTTCAATATCTAGACATTTTAGATAATTATACAAATATTATGAATACGTATATGTATGCTGGATGAGTGTTTGAGTTTTAGAATATTTTCAATGAATTTTCAATATCCTAAAGAACCCCCCAAGGAGCTGTGAGACGTTGGTGGCGTGGCCCAGCGACTGAGTTCACAGGCTAGTCGTTGCTAAGGACAGCTGAACAAAGCCGCAGGGGCTCACACCTGGTGAGTACAGGACCTGGCATTTCCGAGGCACCCTAGGTGGATCTAGACACTGCTTCAACTTGTCTGGCGTCTGGGCTGGAACTCTGCAACCGATAGAGATCGTTATTCCTATCGCTAAGGCGCTTGCTGTCTTCTTCTCTCTTTTCGAAATCAATAGAGTAGAGAGGGGACGTCAATAGAGATAGAGAAAAGTATCTCTATTCGTTACAGAGTCCCAGCCCTGATCCCTTACTTTTCTCTTTGCTAAAGCGATCTTCCTTGATCAACTGTTCTTTCTTGCTCCTTTCAGACTATTCTCTCTTTCTCTCTCCCAAGTCAAGGTGGAAGGCAACGTGCTGAGGACTGGATGGTCACAGGGACAAGTGTGATCTCGAACGTTCCCCCGGGAGTACCAGGCAGCACCCCCCTGTATTCCATGCCTTACCCGACCATGCGGGGCTCTGGCTGGGTGCACGAAGTCCTTGCAAGGGAAGGTACTGCGGGCGCTCTCGGCCTCCCAAAAAGATCGAACGGGGCCTACACGAGCACTAACGCGGAAAGCTTAGGGCTATTGCTAGACACCCACTTTCCAGGATCATCTATAATCTCTGATCAATCTAGGCCGACAGATCAAGTCCGAAAGCCCAGAAGACTATTAAAGGTAGACTGGGACATATGAGAGAATTAAATGAGCCATAGGCGAGTTCCACCCCTTCAAATCGCCAGGCCTGGATGGAATCTACCCAGCACTGCTCCAGAAAGGTAAGGACATACTAATGCCACACCTTTGCAACATTTTCAGAGCATGCATTGCTTGGGGCCACATACCAGAAGTTTGGCAAAAGACGACAGTCGTGTACCTGCCAAAGATTGGCAGGTGCCTAGATAAAACGCCCAAGTCATACAGACCTATAATGTCTATCCTCGTTCCTGCACAAAACTCTGGAAAAAATTGTGGATAGATACATCAGAGACCGCACACTGACACTCTATCCTCTAAGCGATCGCCAGTATGCCTACCAACCAGGAAAGTCTACGGACTCCGCACTGGATGACCTAAACAGACTCCTGACAAAGTCAATTGATGACAAAGAGGTAGCGCTAGGCACATTTCTAGAGATGAAGCGTTTAACAACGTTCCAACCACATCACTAATAAACGCTCTCAAGCGTAGGAATATCCCGCATACCGTTTACAACTGGATAGAAGCCAGGCTAAGAAAGAGGGTAATTACATCTACTCTGGGTGAGGACACAGTAGAAGCAATAGTGGGAAGTGTGATTTATTATTTTAATAAAACGACTGGGTCTGGTTCTGGTTGGCAACTGCCAATACTTTATTAGAAGGTCGAGTACCTTTTTACAATATTCAATATTTTATAAATTACAATGTTACCATTGCTACATCTCCCTTTCTTGAGATTATGATATAATCACAGATATATTTTTAATTAACTTTACATTTTCACTTAAACTAATATCACAATTTATTTATCACAATACATTGATAGCCCTTGTACCGAATCGATAGTACATCGTTTAATACTAAATATAAGAAGTCTTATGTAAGACTCCTTCTAACATATAATTTACATTAACTTAGATACAATTTTAAAAATTTACACAATTTCCCACAAATAAGTTATTGCTCTATGTAGAGCTGCAAATCCTATTTTTAGTTTCCTATGCAAATTCCAAATTCATCAATTAAATGCGACTAAACAAACTGTGTGTACAGAACTACATATATGAGGATTCCTAACATGATTCTAGACAAGACTCCACTATCAATCAACTTGAACGTAATAGTCTTGAAGCCTTGATGGCTGTTTAATAGCTCTTCCTGATCTAGTATACTTAACTGTACTTATTATATTATTCGAGTTTGTTAAACTTTCGTTATTAAATGAGCCCATGTTAATTGGGTCATTTTCAAGATTCGAGATTCTCACAATTCTGAAATTCGTGAAAACACTATCATTACTACTATTACTACTATACTACCATAATCTATTCCAGCATTCCTGGATGTATCGTCAGTTTCCTCCATATCTAGGTTGCCGCTAGATTTTGAGTAATCATTCGGTAGCTCTTCATCCTCCCTGTCTTCGAGAGAACTGTCACAAATTGGAAGGAAATTATAGGTTTGCAAATGTTCACTAGATGCAAATCCATTTAAATTTTCGCAATTCTCTGACTCAGGCAAGTTGGATCTTTCCCTCAGCTTCTGCTTTGTGTGTTTTTTATGTATTTTCTATTTCTTCTAAACAGTTTGGATTACTTTTTCTACCTGACCATTGGATTATGCATAAAGAGGGTAAGAAGTTTTATGTATGAAATCCCACGTCTTACAAAAAATTTTAAAAACCAGACTTGAGAATTCCGGACCATTATCAGTCATTAATATGTTTGGAATCCCGAAACGAGAAAATACACCCTTTAGCTTATGAATTATATTATTGCTAGTTAAATCTCTACCCAAATTTACAACTTCTACAATTTTGTATAATAATCTGCTATAAGTATATGCATGATTCCTTAAAAAGATGAAAAACGTCAGCACCTAGCTTATACATCAACGCTTATACCAAGGTCTCAAAACAATGTCATGGGAAATCATGGGTTCAGGTTGCTGTGAGTTTGATAAAGACTGACACACATGACAAGACAAAATAAAATCTTCTATATGTTTTCTCATACCTGGCCAAAAGAAAGAAAGTTGGGCTCTCTCAAAACACTTTTTCGCTGACATATGACCATAGTGTAATTTTATTAAAATTTCTTTACGTAATGATTTGGGAACTATCAATCTTTGACCCCTAAACGCAAGTTGATCTATTTCTGATATTTCAGGAGTTGGCATATCTTTTATAGCCTTAATTTTATCTTCATTTGGTTTTATACCTTTATTTGTTGTCTTATGACCCATCTATTTTACTTCAGTTAATAAAATTTTATATTTCTCTTTATTGAATCTTAAAGTGTGCTTTTCTGCTAGAGACAGAATTTAACTTAACCTTGCATTATGCTGTTCTACAGTGTCACCAAAGATTAAAAGGTGGTCTATATAAAAACTACAGCCCTCAATAACGTTACCAAAAATATCAATAATTTGCTCTTGAAATATTTCTGGAGCGCTACAAATACCGTAAGGTAATCTCAAGAACTGATACCTTCCAAACGGCGTGGCAAATGCACAAAGTTTTGAACTTCCCTGATCTAATTTTACTTGAATATTTAGCACCAGACAATTTTGCTTCTAGTTCCTCTAAGGTAGGTATTTGAAAAAAATGTCTTTTTATATTTAAATTCAAATCTTTAGGATCTAGAGCTATTCTAAGCTGTCCATTAGGCTTTCTAACTATGACCATGTCGGACACCAATCAACATATTCATCAGATCTTTTAATTAAATTTTGCTTTTCTAGCTCATCCAAAGTAAACTTTAATTTATCCCTAATCGCAAAAGGTAGTTTTCTAGGATAATTTAAGCAAGGCTTTGCACCTATTAAATAATTCAGGTTATCAGTGGTTGAATAAAACAGGATAGATACTTTTTAAGGCACGAGAATATATTT